GTTATTTACTATCAACCTAAATAAAGATGCGAGGGTATACCGGTAGTGACGCCAGGAAATATAGAATTGAATAGAAATTATTTATGAAATCGGCGATGACAAACCTTGAAAAGGTATTGGAAGTTATGATTCATGAAATGGTGTATGCATCAGGTGTTTTATTGCTTGAATGAGGAACCAATCACGGACCAAAATTTCGGAAAAGATCACGCCGTATTGTAAAAACAGTCAACGCTCAAAGGTACAATATTCCCAATAATAACAATAACATAATAAAAAAACGATCCGAAGTCCACTTCATGTCCAACGATTTCAGACTCCAGACCGGCAACTTGAGTAAATTCTTCCGCAAGTGTGTGTACCAGTGGCGGCGCGTCAATAGGGCCAACCGGGGCAATGCCCCGGTTGTTTTTTCGGTATAATAAAAAATACCTGAATATCGGTTGCACAGACTGTCTACACTAGCCATATTCTCCCGACATGGTTCATTTTTCGCTCGCAAAGCCTTCGCCGAACGTCGACGGGGCGACGCCGATTTTGCCCCTGTTGCTCATTGTATATCGGATTCTCTTTTTTATCTTCCACTCGCCGCGTTTGTCTCGTTTGTTTTTCTGTTTCTTTTACTAAATCATCGGGGCTAGCCCCGAAATTATGACGACACAATGCCGACGTTTCTTACAACAACGTGTTGACATATTCACGCATTCCTTCTCGTTCGTTGGTTGCTTGAAGAGTTGATAGTTTCCTCGCCTTCGTTTTTGTCGCTTGTTTCGCTAGTTGAATCAGTTAGAGACCTTTAGTCCATTTGCTTTCGATTTTCCACATTCCTTTTGAGCTCCTCACTTCTTTCCGGCTTCGCATTTCTTAGCCTTAGACCTCATAATGAATAGGGTTGATGCACTACTTCGCACTCTGTTTTCGCAGCTGCCGCTGGAACAAAAATTAGAGGTACAACGTCTTGGGTCTTATCAACCAAAAAATTGTTCACTGGAACAATCCCATGACGGAGGAAAGCGTCGGCGTACATTCTGCGCAGAAACTTGGTATAAAAAACACGAATGGTTGTGTTACAGCGAGGACAAAAATGCACTTTTTTGTTTTTGCCTACTTTTTGCTACCGCCCTTGACTCACATTGGTGTAAACTTGGTTTTAGAGATCTTAAACATTTTTCCGAGCGTGCCAGGGATCATCAATCTTCTATGGAGCATCTGGACAATGCAGTAAAATACCGAACATTCGGAAATGTTAATATTGCAGCACAGTTGGATGAAGGACGCGCGGTTTCTATTCGTCGGCACAACCAAAACGTCGAGAAAAACCGCCATGTTCTCGGTCGATTGATAGATGTTTTGAAGTTCATTGGTTGTCACGAGCTGTCCCTCCGTGGGCACGATGCACGGGCTGGCTCTTCTAATGGAGGGGCATTTTTGGATATAGTGGAATACACCGCATCCCTAGATACAGTTTAGGCTTGCACGTAATTGACAAAAATCAATTCCGTAATTACGACCAAATCGATTACGTAATGACCCCGCAATTGCGATATTTTTTCACACATTTAAACCTATCATAACAACCAATTGAATCCACTTCATTTTCGATTGGGACATCGAGTTTGGGTTTTCATATTCCTGGCAGTACTACACGCCGGCAACAGATGTTAAGACAAGAGAAGAGTGAATTCAAATTAATTTTATTCCGATTTTTATCTTTTGTGCTAGCTTTGATTTCCTTTATCACCTTTGCAAATTAACCGTCCCAATTTTATGCGATCAATTTTATCATTACCGACACTGGTATACGGATATTTATGAAACGATAGTTGACTTTTTTTGAATCGTATTAAAAAAAAATGTCGGGTTTCCAATTTATCAATGGCACGACGAGCGTATTCTCTCGTTTGATTATACTTGCGCTTGCCTCGCGACGGAGACTTGCACCGTTTTTAACATTATTCGACTTTACTACCTAGTCAGCATTTCATAATAATTATTGATGCCGACTTATTGACGTTATTCCGATTACCATGCTTCATTTTACATTAAATCATTTCGCGGCCTTAATGTTGTAACATTATTTGCGACAAATTTAGATCAAAAATTAATTATTTGCGCATAATTTAAATAACGTACTTATATGACATGGCTTTTCCGAAAATACAAAGTTATATCGCAAAAAAATGCATATTGTGACATTTATTTTGCACTCGCGAAAAAATTAACTTATTTTTCCAACTCAAGTCGACGATCCTATCGGCCAAGATTGACACAAATTTGGTCGAGTGTCGGTGGTATTCAAGAATCAAAATAAGTTGCCGCATTTGGTAAAGACAGTTAATCATATTTGGCCGAAATATTGCGAGGCATTGTGGAAAATATCAGGACAATTCCGGACTGATATAAAACGATAAAACCGGTAACAGAACATCAAGGTTTTATAATTGAAAATGGTTCTCGCACAGAATAAACACACTGGCTCATACTTGATATTTAATAGTTGTTAAATTGAGAATATTGAACTGTTGAAAACAAAAAAAACGATCGTCGAAATTCTTAAATCTCGTTGCCTTGGTTAAATATAATCCAATGATCAGGACATTTTCAATTAAATACTGCACAAAGATAGTTATACATTAAACATTTAGGCTACAATTTAGCTTTTTTTTAAATTTTAAACATGCATTGTGGTGGAGAAATCCCACTATTTAAATACGGGTAACTATAATAATAGGATTCTGGATTCGATTTAAGTATTCTAAAACAGTGGTTCCCAACCGCCGGTCCGCGGACCGTCAACGGTCCGCAAAGGATTTTTACCGGATCGAGGGAAATCCCGTCATATTGTTGTTCCTCTGCCGTCTCAATCGCTTTACCGATGCCGAAAAGACGAAGTTGCGTTGGTTCATTACGCAATTTCTCTTCCGTCGTCATATTGCTGATTTTTACGACTTTACGTAATTCGTAACTTCCCTTCCGTAACTCGAAATAATTCTGTAAATTACGTGCAAGCCTATACAGTATTGAGAGATCATCTTGATACCGCAACTGGTTCGAAAGGGACATCTAAAGATATTCAAAATGATTTGCTCGACTCAATGTATAAAATTTATTTACAACATTTGGCTCTGGAAATTGAGAATTGCCAGTTCCTTTCGATTCAGTCTGACGAGACAACTGACATCACGTGCGTTTCCCAACTGGCTGTGATTTTTCGGTTAGTGAAAGGTGGTAAACCTGTCGAGAGATTTCACAGCTTTGTAACAATCGTTGAGCTCGGCTGTACTGAAAGAAGTGTTACAGCCTTACAACGCGAAGTCAAAATTGATAGCTCAAACTTATGACGGCGCGGCAGTCATGAGTGGGTCGAAACATGGTGTTCAAGTTTATATAAAAGAAGATTTTCCTCGTGCGCATTTTTTACATTGTTATGCACACCAATTTAACCTCGTTATTAAAAATATGTGTCTTGATACCCCTCTCGTCCGTATATTTTTTGCAAATGTTTCGGGGTTTTTTTCCGTTTCGCCGAAGCGCTCTGACCTCCTTCGCCAGATATGTAGCCGCCGTCTCCCAGCTTGTGCACCAACACGTTGGAACTTCCAATCACGCGTGGTGCAGGGCGTGTCCGAAATTAGGTCTGAGCTCATTGAGTGTTTCAATGGCATTCAGAGCTCTCCGGTTTGGGACGAACGCTCTGTGAGGGAGGCGGCAGGTCTAAAGCGTCTGCTAGAAGATGGTGAGTTTTCATTTTTTCTCCACAATATTCTATCACGTGGATGTATTATACGGCGCATTGCAGTCAAGGCTAATGGATAGAGCGCCTGTGCAGTCGTGTATTTCAGACTTCTGCGATGCTGTATCTCGTATCCGGGAAACAATAAAATACGACGACACATGGAGTGCTTCTTTACGCCGCGGGCAAACAACGCAGCGTTTGATTTTGTCTGCAAAGGAATGCTGTGACATTCTGGTGAATCAAATAGGCGATCGTCTGCGCACTGAACACCTTGCCGCGTTCTCTTTGATGAACCCCAAAAATTTTTCAAAATTTGCACGTCAAATTCCCATCCATTTGTTGGCTACCGTCTCCAAATTTTACCCCATGATAAACGTGGGTAAATTGAAAAATGAATTGCGATGTATATACACCAATCAAACTTTTTTGAACATCACATCAACTTGCGCGCTTTATGGGTTTCTCATAGATAACACTCTAGCAACTACCTTTGCGGCGTCTGCAAAATTTCTGGACATCATTTTGACGACGCCTATTTCTTCCGCCGACGCAGAGCGAACATTCAGCACGCTGAAGCGTATTAAAACGTATCTCAGAAACACAATGAAGCAAGATAGATTAAATTCCTTGGCTGTTTTATCCATTCACAGAGACGTTATTTCTGGGATGCATGACTTTAATCAGCGCGTTATTGAGCATTTTGCTTCCAAGAAACCGCGGCGAGTTGCATATATGTTCAAGCAGTAGAAGTCTAGCAGCATATATATCTATGAGTGAGCGACGCATGTCCTTATCTTTGCATTACCTTTCCTTTCTTCATAGTAACGTTTTAAACCTTATTTTAGGTTTTGTCTGCTTTCCCGAAGTTTCTGTTAATATGTCATTGTATTTATCTGGGTAAATATTGCCTTTCCTTTTGAAAGAGGTTTCAAAATAAACTATGTCTATATTTATTAATCCCTTGACTTGGACCGGTTTTAAAGACACTTTTTTATCGTTAAAAATTGTCGCTTTTGCCGATTGGTTGTTACCGATGGAATGGTTTTTATACTCTTAAAATGATGGGAGAACTTACAGCGCTCATCCTGTCCCCGTAGATGGGGGTGACTTGGTCCCGCAGTAGCTTGCCCCGGTTGTCAAAATGACCACGCGCCGCCACTGGTGTGTACCTAATGCCGCAAATAGCAACAGTAACTATTTTAATTATTTCCGTTTCCGTGGTGTATTGAGGAAAAAGCAGCGATGAATGAGGCAAGGAAGTGCGTTTTCGCAACTGGGATATAAGCTCACCAATATTACCAATACTCTCTAAACGGAATAACTTGTGAACTGGTAATGAACTATTGGATTTTAAGACTTTGCCCAACAATGACAAATGCGCCTTATTCAACACTTTCAAGTACACAAGACTGCTAATTAAATGAAACGACATCCCGACTTCACAGATATAAAGGACTCTAAAACAATATTATCAAAATATTCCAGCTGAAACAATGCGCAATTATAAAAATACCTAATTTGAACAGACAGATGATTTGTGAGACCCGTCGTCGCCTCAATCCACTTGTTCCGCAATCCGGACAGAATCTGCATGATAAAATAAGTTTAGATATTGGTCTTCAAGAGGAATAGTTGCTGATCGCAATGAGCAGTGGCGATCGCGCACAAGGGGGCGTAGACAATTGTTGATTAGATTTGACAATTAGACAATTGTTAGATCGCGTTTAGCTAATTAAAAATATTTGTTAGATTGATCTTGCCCGCCTTATTTTGGATATTTACATTTCTTTATTTTGGATATTCGGACCGGATCGGACCATGCTATTTGGTTACAAACTAGCTAAGAGCTTTAATGTAAACATTGCACATTTCTACATTTAATACATTCTGCTCCTTGTTCTTGTAGCAAGTTTACAATATTGGAAAAAATAGGACTGAAATAGAAAATAAAGTTTGACAACCCTTGAAATAAAGAATATATATTCAAATCTACACAATAATATGGACCACTAACCGAATTTCGTCACGAGACTCCCAAACGATAATACTCAAAATGAGGAACGCATTTGACTACGAACGTGCTGGTAACTGATGAGCTCTATAAATGTTTTTCCTTATTTTATTGTTTTAGAGAAGGAAACTTCTATATGTGATAGTACTTACTTTAAAATTTACTTATTTTGCGCTACTGCACGTGGTATTAAAGCACATAACTACAAACCTTGAACGCTGAAGAGCGAGTTGTGCGTAACTATCGGATAAACCTGAAGAAAACCGAAACCAGAGTTCCTCACGCATAAGAAGTAGAAATAGGCAAAGAGAGGAAGTATTTGATGATTGTGGACCTCAAGCACGCGCGCGTCTCCAGCAGGGTTTCAACATGATAACGAGTAGGTCATGGGAATCTTTAAATACTCTGGTATAGGTTTGAATCATGTGGGGTTAAATTATGTGGAAGAGGATTGTTGGACTCCTGGTTCCCCTCTTGGACTCCTGTAGGTGATTTACGTACAACTGTTCCGTCATACCTCCGCCATTAAGTTCATGCATCCAAGACTAATAACAACTAGCTAACTAATCCCGATAGGCGATATGGACTGATCACCGGACGAGAAGCCGTGTTGTCCACGAAATCAAGCCGTCTTACGGATTTCTTCTCCACTGTGATAAATATGGAAAAACAAATATATATCTACACTTACTTCAACAAACTCTCGATTCGTGAGATTCGCTTTCACCTTATTCGCTTATCCTCGTAATCAGGACATAACCTGCATGATTACGTACAAGTTAAGAAAATATCGAATCCGAAATATTTCAGCCCAATTAAAAACGCATTTATGATTTCAGCAAAAGCGAAATGACCTCCGCCAATGTTATTTTGCATTCATTTTCATTTCACTTAACACATAGATGCCTATGCCGGTACAGATAGAATGTTTCGGCTTGGAATAAATGATAGCAATTAATTTCAGTGCGAATTGAATTCAATTTATGAAACACGGCCACTTGAAAGGAGCAAGTAATTTTAGAGCACTGTTCCAACCTTTATCTTTAAAACTCCCTTCGCCTATTTTGAAACTTTTTTATTATTTTTTGACCTGATGGATCATGCGCACTCACACTTTTTTACAACTCAAATGTGTTATAATTATCCATTATAGTAATATTGATAATAAAAAAATACAGAATATTAGTAGCTGTATTTCAACAAATACTGAGCAAAATTGTCCTTGTTTCGGAACGTTAAAGGGAAATAAATTTAATGCTAAAAAGTTAACCTACCTTGCTTATGCTTGAGACACGCCGGGAATCCGTACCTTGCTCCCCATGTTTTTCACTTACATTGGATACTTTCAAGCACTGATTGACAATTTCTGAAGCAAAATAAAACCACTGTAGGAAACACTGTACGTTGAAAATTTTTGAAGGTAATTTCAATTTTCTTTAACAGCTTCCATTAAATAAATTAAGGACTAATTGCACACTACGATTTCGTTAACACAAACATCGGATTCTGATTATGCCGTTAGGTATTATTTAAAAATGAATTTGAAGTTTGTTTTAAAGATAAATCATGATTCGAATTGCAAAAAAATATAATTACATACTTTCTTATATTTGACACGTATCGGAAAGTCACTCTTCTTTCTTCCCAAATGAAAGCGTTTCCTTTTTCGTTTGAAGAAATTCAATCACCGATTTCAAATTTCTGAAATATAAACAAAAAGAAGATACTAACAAGGAAATGAACATGAACAAAAAACAACATAATAGCATAACGATATGTACGGTTCGTGTCCAATAATATTGAAACCAATAACAAGTAATTACTCCGTCTTTATCAGTCGTTGACTGTGTTGATAAACACTCACTTGTAGCTACCATGTCCAGCTAGGCCGAAGATTCGAAGGGTAGTCCAGTAGTGGAAAACTTCTCTCCATTTTTAATTGCTACACGAGAGAAAAAATAGGACCTTGCATACTTCTTACAAAGGTGAATTACTTTTTGCGTAAGACAGATTTTTATCTTACTTATTGCCTTTATTAACAAAAACACTCGAAATGGTTGACGGAAATTTTACAAGGGTATTGGTTTTACAAAATACGAAAGTTACAGAGAATGAAACGACTTTAACCCGGACTGCAGATGCGCAGTCATCAATTTCAATCTAATATTTCATACTTAACTGGATAAATGTTCATTCAACCGCATTTCCTCTGGCAGGATCCAATTCCACCCCAGATCAATAATTTTAGGCCTGATATTAGTCTAACTGCATTAGTAAACATATAACTGTAAAAACATATAAATTGCCTGCAAAGAAACGAGAAAGCTGTAAATGAAACCAAAGCATTTATTAATTGACGTTAGACTAAATGAATTTGTCAAACAGCCAAAACGACAAAAATTTGGAAGACTATTCAAAATGTAAATCTGAATGCACTTACAACAGACAAATATACGTTTCTCAGCGCAAGACCCCAGTAGTATAAAACCTCCATATAGATTAATATAATCATATCAGATTAATATAAGAGGACAATACAATGACACTGACGGAATCCTAACACTTGGTTTGATCAAGATTGTATACTATATATTCACGCGGTTGTGCACTTATAAATGTAAATAAACTAACAGTTACCTTATTAATCCTTGATCGTCTCCCTTCAACTAAACTTCTGTGAGTCTTCGAGTCAAGAATTTGGCAACAATCATCGCTTTAATACTATGTTATGGCCTAACTTCATTATCATTTAGTTTATCTTTAGCTATTAGTCCATGTGTCTTTCGTTTTCATTCAACCTCGACAGTCCCAGTTGGTAGACAATTGAATTGTAACAAATTTCCAATTGTTACTTTGCAAAAATTATCGAATATGCAGAATTAATTTTTGATTGTGGACTTTAACATTAAAAGGAACACAGGTATTTTTTCACCTGCATAAAACAATCTCATGTTCTTGAAACAATGAGATTACGATATTCCCACGAAATCTATGCTATTCCAATCTATTTTGCTATATATTTACAATACATTTGACCTTAATTACTGCACCGATGCTATAAACCGGAAATAATATTATTATTGCTCAACAAAAATTTCTCCTATCAAAAACGAAACGAACTAGTTTCTGATTGGTTAAAAATAAACCTTCTTTCCGAAAGAGTAATAAATAAAGATAGAGAATTTATCCACAAAACGGGAAAATTCCAAAGCCTTTAAATAACCCAACTTAACCCGTAACTAACTGAAAGAATGAAATTATCTCTAATATTCATCGCCGATTTAGATTATCTCACCGATTTCAGATCTTGTAATCTCTATTCCACTTTGTAGACATTTGAATCAATAATTGTAGGCGAAAGCTTAGTTAGTACAGCTATGAAAAATTGCGGAAGATACAAGCGTTGGATTATGAAAAAACCAGCGACACAAGTATGCACATAAACCATTAAACTTAAAAATTCACAAACATGAAATCAGTGCTCACCTGACGGCGTCAATTTTAAAAAGACCGCCCGAGCGCAGACAAATTTTAACGTGGCAAGAAAAAGTGTGATTATAATAAAGAAACAAAGAGAGTGGAGGAGACCGCAAAATGAAGATGCTTTTTCATTCGTTGTTCACATGTCTAGGCGACGTAAGAAAATAGCGAAACAACAAATAAATGATGAAACATGCTGTTTGTCGCATTAACCTTTTACCACTACAGCCATATAATAATCTAGATAAATTTTATTCTAGACAATATTTAATATGCTACACTATTGAGAAAAAAAAGTAATTGACAGAAAGATATTCTACCGACGTTATGGTCTGGACAGCAGGAAAAATCACGCAGACCAAACATACAGCGATTATAACAAAATCAGATGATTTGTTTTCATATGGTGCTTATTTAATACTTGTCGCTTCGAACAAGACCATATGCAAGCATCCACAGATAACCCAGGATATGCTGTGAGTTACTTTCAATTGATTAAGTTTAATTTCTGAATCTATTATCGACCCGCCACGTTCTGGTCGATTGTAGATTAGAACTATTCCGTATTCGTTGAACATATTCGATAAAAAAATGAAATTTTTCTACCCCTAGCAAGGGCGAATCTATGGGCCCCCGAGTATGATCTACAAGTGTCGTGCTGAACTGATTTACATCGCAGTACTTGAATATTATGGTCTGGCCATGTATAATTTTCTTTAATTGTGTTTTTCTTTCGCGCCACTAGTCGAGCAATTCTTTTAATTTCATTGTATGTGAACCAAGATGGCGGACACCGGAACGTAGTACGTGTACCAGGTTGGGGTTAGGTACATTTCTGCGTAAGTCACAGTGCGCACGACTTCATTTGAGTGAGTTCATTTACTGAATATTTCCGGGTTTTGTTAACAAATGGTCAAAGCATTAGACCCAATTTGGCATTATAAGTTATATAGATCAGGGATTCGACTCCTACCATGCCCGTCACTTAATCGTTGTTGAATTATTATTTTATTGTTTTTATTATAGATAATTTTCTATGAAATACTAACATAATATATTAACTCAACATCCTATGTATTGAGTTGGTTGAACATTGTTTTCTAACACCAAAAAATTCCATTTGAAATAACAGCTATCAACATATCAGTGGATATCTGCTTGGGACTTTGAACAAACGATAATTGAAGTGATAAATATAGTTCATACTTGAAAGCTTAACGGCATTCATCCGATTTTTTATATATATGGGCTAGGCATTCATCGTCGAATATTCATGACCCTTCTGTTTACTGTCGTCGAAGCACAGAGCTCTTTCAGCGTTTTGGTAAAAATACTTTAATAAAGTCGCATATGAGTCAGAAGCGTCTATCGAGTTTTGGCACTAAAGCCCTCCGAGTCTGGCAAGAATGAATACCTCCTGTGATTTTATCAAGTTGCAGGCCGAAATGCTTGGACCCTCACCCTCAGTGGTAGAATTCAATTTTTTGTCAGCCGGTTCCATCCCACAAATTTCACATTTTTCAGCCGGTTCTGTTACAAAAAGTCATGTTTTTTCAGCAATGCTAACCGGTTCGCTGATTTCATAAAATTCCGTGAGACGGTTCTATAGAACCGGCTGAATCCCACTACTGATCACCCTGTGAAATATGGTTATTATGCAATAAAACAGTAACAACGGGGAGTTTCGAGAAAAGTGAAATCAGTTTTGCGCCTAGCATTGTGGCCCCCGATTGGGAACCACTGTCTTAGAACCTCGTTCGTTCCACTTATTCCAGACTGCTCTTGATATTGTGCGGACTTAATTTCTCGCATCGAAAAACAACCGGCAGTGGTTTCCCTACAAAATTTTATCTATGATGGTCATCTCCTTGCGCTGCGTTTTATCATTAAATAATACCAGTCGGCAGGTATATCGTAACAATACTAGCCACATGTGAACACACCATACCAGAAGTAAAACTGACCGCGATAGGGAATACTAAATAAAGGTTTATAAAGAGAATCAACAGACGAGAAACTTCGTCTTGAACGTAAGGCTGGTGTAATGCATCTGGGTGCAAATGTACCATGGGTGGTAATAAACGTAAGTGAAATGTACGCACAGGTGGTGAAAGTGGATAATTACCTTTATTGGATGTTATTGTACATAGGTTTGATCGTGCTGATTGTCCTCCCCTCTTTAGTTGCCCTATATTCAGAATACTTTTCAGTCACTTTTTCGTAGCTCGGATAATTTTACATTTTTGTTAAATTAAAATTTTGAATTTGACGGATTTGTTCAAAATGTGCTATGCGCCCAAGTCATGTTGTCCAAAATAGCTCCTTTGCATCTGAGCACTACTGGTTCATATAAAGTTAATTGGTCATTCGCAATTGTGCCACCGCGCAGGGTTGTCCAATTTAACCATATGGCAAACCACGGCCTCTCGTACGGTGACAATTCCATGTCAGGAATGGGATTAGTATTTTGATTTTGGTAGCATGGACTTGATGTTGGAGGAAGCCGTAACCGACCAGCGGTTACGTGAACCACCCTACGGCGGCGAGGGGTCCAGCAATCCTCTCGCACCTAAATAACTATCCCCGCATGGGATTCTAACCTGCGAACCCCTGCAGAGTAATCAGAGATGCGGTGGCAAGCGTATTTCTAACGCCTAGCACGATGAACCACACCGCCCGCTCTTCCCGGCCCTTTGTATATCAAAATTCTAACAATACCAACAGTGGGTGTGAAATTCATGGACTGTGACCCCTTTAACAACATGGAATAGTCGTCATATCTTCCAATATTCATATGATCAAGTATGTTATTCACACAATTGAAGTGAAAATACAAATAATACTGATAAAATTCATGCTACTTCAACTGCCATCAAATGATTGTTGAATAGTATTGCCCAACCTAGCCAAAACCGTAAAAAACAACACAATATTGATCCCAGAACAAAGACACTTTACAAGATGTTTATGACTAGAACTGCCAGAACTACTGAAAACGTGATAAAATGACAAATGTTTACGAACAATTTAGGTAATAATCATATTTATATACTAACCAATGGACTAGAGGGCTAAAAGATACATTCAGCATAGCAAAATTGGTTTTCCGTAAAGGTGGCTTAGCAGGTAATAGATTAAATTATAGTGAGTGAACTAAGTGGTAAGCTTAACAAAATTGACGAATAGTTGCCTGTAACTGGTAATAATGTTAAAAGTGATCACATGCCCGATAAAAAAAACACAAAAACGACCATGATAGGAGAAAAATCATAAATTCCAAGAATAGTCGTATAAAACAACGGACATATCATTAAAATCAATTTGTGTGTCTGAAAATCATGCTGGAATAATTATATTTTGATTGATATTAATAACTCTTAGTGTATATAAATTTAAAAAGGTCTCATTTTGAAATTTTTATCTCAGATTTAATGTTCATGCATGATACGCCAGTCGACATTGACGATGAATGTACATAACAATGAAACATTTATTTTTACACACTAAAACACAAAAAAAATATGACAATAGAATTTTCAAACAAAATATTAAAATGCAAAGTATTTATGCTGAGCCGAAGTTTCGTTCTAATATTTTGCTACAGAGCAGTGAAAAGATAAAAAAATTAACTAATTTAGGGTCTCACATAATTAGCGGGACCATCTATGATCACATTTAATAACATCATTTGTGATTCTAACTACGAGCGAAACATAGTAAAAAAACTCCAATAATGTAGATGCAAACCCTTGTAAATCAAAGGGGAATCCACATAAGCAGCATAGCACCGTATATGAAGGGTTAATTGAATAGCAAAATCGCACTCGAAGAAAAATTATGGAGATATCAATTGTATATTTGTAGTAGAAAAAATTAGGAAGAATATGGTTTTGAGATAAAATTTATCTTTGAAAAATCTTAAAAATTGATGCGCATCTATATTTTTGTAGATGAAGGCGAGTAGGTAAAAGTTCACCAATCTGTGCTTACAATTGAATTTGCTTGGTTAAGACTGCTTCATATTACTGTGTGTATGCAACTTTCAAAAAAACATCCAATTTATTTCAGCATACACATACTCTTGACACAGTTTTATGTACTAAAAACAAGTTTTAATGTAAGCATTTAAATTCCATTTGTCTTGACAGTCATCAAAGCCTTTCCTACAGACAAGTGTAGAACATGTTTGTGACATCATCACACTATTATTGTACACACAGTGGTGGCCGTAGGTTGTGTGCATTGAAATTATGCATTGTACTTAGTAACAATGTCCAATGAATTTTGTCAATATTCTTCGTTTTATTTTAAAATGATATTGAAACAAATAATAAAAGAAATTTTACAGAAGAGCCACTTAAACATGGGCATCTTTGTAGATTAACTGTGCTGTTGCGTTTTCAGTATCAGCTGTGCTGAATATAGTTTTAAATATATAAATTCTTCCTCGGAAGTCTTTAATAAAACCAGTTATTGGATTGCCGAGTTCTTTCTTTTCTTTGAGCGCGTATTTTTTTGAGCATGTGTGTATCTAACTCTGCTGTTTGACCTGCGGCGACCATTCCTTTGCCTCTCTTGTTGTGGGCTTTGTTGCCCGACTTGGAAAGCTTCTTCGACCACCTAAAAACAGAAAGAAATTTTACTAGATAATTAGGTACTTCCGAAGTAGGTTTGTGTTAGGCCATAATTTGATTCCAATTTTTCTTATTTCAGTTCTATTACGAGTTCGGGGACTGTCTGTGTTAGCCATGTGAATATACCCCCTGCCCATAGGTTTTAATCCGTCCCTGTACACAACTTGATGTGAAATAGGCGAACAAAATTAGTTACCGGTACCTCCATATTGGTAGTTGGTACACATATTTCTGGAGCGCCAATAATTACAATCCACCAAATGATTTTATGTAAGGAAAAGTTGGAACTGGAGATATTGCGACCATTATTATTTTAATGGTTGATTGAAATAGCATATGCATAACTACTGTTCCATCCTCTTTAGCTTCTATATTAGGGGATTCGTATGCATTGCAAAGATAGAATGGCAAGAATCAAAACAGCTATATTGAATGGTGCAAACACTCATATGTAATTTTAAGGCGCTCCAGAAGTATGTGCTCCAAGATGGCGCACAACCTGACACAACCTGATAAACCTAACCTGGTACATACATGCAACATCTTGGTGCACATACTTTGGGAGCACCAATTTTAATGTTTTCTAATTATGAATGGACCAGGAGTTCACGATTATAAAAATCATCAAGCTGACCTTTGTTTGCGGAGAACTTGGTTGCGATGTTGAAACTTTTTTCTTTTTTTGTCTTTCGGCCATGACAGTTCTGGACGCCTTCTTATTCGACCGATTCTGGCCTTCCACTTTGCTTTTCCTCGGCGAATTTTGCCTTTTCCTGTTGTCATTAAAATAGATATTTGCAGCAAAAAACAGTTGTGTACCGCGTATAAATTTTAAAGAATTTTAAAAGAAGTCCAAATCCCAATTATGAATAGGAATGTTTTTCATATTTCCTTCGTACACTAGATTATTTCGAATCTTAAAAAATGGTGGCCCAAGCAGATGAGTCTGCAGACAACGTCACAATGTATGTTTGTGATTTAAGCAAGGACTGGTATATACAATTGTAAGTGACTTGAAATATTTCTTGAAAGTCCTGACATATTATAGTTGAATGAATACAACTTAGGTAAGTTCTTAACACCTCAAACGATTTCGATTAAGTACGCATAACCTTGCTAAAAGCGAAAGTTAATACAAAAGCACACCACATTTGTGAAAAAATAAGTACTGGTATTTGAAAGGATTGAATTAGAATAAAAAGCACACAGATTGAAAGGACATAAAATAGATGGAAATACAACTCTAAGTGCAAAGCCAGAGAAACATTTGCTACTCAAACCAAGCCTGTTTCACTCAGTTTAATTAAGTCTAATTACAAGAACACCACTTTGATAAATTATTAAATCAATATTATCATTTTGGAAATACTTCAATGAAATCATTAACAAATTGAAATATTTCTGATCAATTTTTAGGAATTGTGCAATCTTTTTCCTTGTAATTAATAGCATCTGCCGCTGAAGCCAAAATTGGTAGTTATAAAATGGCTATGTACCTACTAAAATGGCTATGTCCCATATAGGAACATAGCCATTTCAATAGGGACGAAGCCATTTAAGTAGGAACGAAGCCCTTTCAGTAGGGACATAGCCATTTTAGTAGGGACATAGCAGACATAACCATTTTAGTAGGTGCATAGTCGACATAGCTATTTCTATGGGTGCATAGCGAACACAGCTATTCCAGTAGTGACATAGCCTTTTTAGTAGGTGCATAGCGGACATACCCATTTTAGTAGAGACATAGCCATCCTAGCAGGGACATAGTGTACATTTTAGTAAGGGCATGCTGTATGTAGTTCGAATTTTGATCTCTATGCTACTATATTAGGATCTGATGTTGGGACAAATGATCATTAAAGAAATTTATTACATAAGCCCATTGCATTCATGAAATTGCCTTCTATAAGTATCATGCAATGCAACTTTATTAATGAGTAATACATGATTTAAAAGTAGCCATGGTGAAAATCATGCTTTTTCTCAATGAGACAGGGTGAATAAAACAAAAATTTGTATTCTTTCATGTAAGTTATTATTTTCCAATGATGAAAAATTCCCATTAATTGCATTGGTGAAGGTAATGTAACACCGGTAATGTGCAAAGAAAGAGCTTAAAGTCTCTTAAAAGGATGATCATCTATGTTTACCAAATTGTAACTTCACAAAAAATTTTTATGAAGTAAATTTCAAATAATCAAATTAACACATAGGTAGTGAGTTAAAACAAAAGGATCTGGTAAATTGAAATAAAAAAAGTTACTAATATATATATTGTTGGAGAATATTAAGAAGTTGAATGGTAGTAGCAGTGGATATTTAACTTCATACATGATAGAGTGAATATATAGACAATCTCAATTATTGTATTCAATAATACCTTTGCTTAATTCCTTTAGCATGTTTCGAATTTGGTGCACCGTCATCGGAATTCTTTCTACGCTCTGATTGTGCCAAGCAGAAGCATTGATTTGATTAAATAAAACAAAATTGAAGAATGATAAATAGTTGCAGCATGAAAAATCTTTACTAAAGATGGAAACAATCGATCAAATTTGGCTCAGGGAGAATTATGCTCAAAGCTCATAAGCGCCAAAGCATCTACAAAAGCTTAATAATCGACGCTCCAGAAGTGTGTGTAGCAATATGGAGGTAACTAATTTTGTTCGTCCACTTTACATCAAGTTGTGTAAAAGGACTGATTACTATTGGCAGGGGGTATATTCACTTGGCTAACACAGACAGCCCTCGAACTCGTAATAGAACTAAAATAAGGAAAATCAGAATGAAATTATAGCCTAACCTTAACCTGGTATACACACTACGGGAGTAGAGTACCCTTTCATATGGTAAAGTCAGAAGTGCACACATTTATAGTGAAGAAATCGGGTGTACAACGTCAGCTGCGACAACTTATTGACATGATTGAATATATGAGCATGAAATTTTCCATCCCAAACACAAATGTGTCATCAGCAGTCTCGCTAAGCGGTATAAAACAAGCCAGGTGATAACTTAAAAAAGCGGTTATAATCACTGCTATTTATAAGCGCACAAAACCATGCCACACCATGCTAATTCCACCTGCTCAAAATTAACATTAAAACAAAACAATCTCAGTTCTTAGTCCCCAGTTGTTAGTCTAGTCTTAGTGTTTGCCGCTAACAAAAATGGTCTTATTTCACCAAGTTATTATAGATAACATAAATACTTTCTGATTTATAAAATTTATTCCTGCAGCACTTATATCTCAGTATATTTATTCTATTGATAAATTAAAAATAGAAAGAAAAATCACCTCTTCTTGTAGGTTCTTCTACAGGATTTTCAATATTTGTTTGGTCAAACTCACTTTCCTCTTGAGAAACAGTAACATTGTTGACTACAAATGGAAGTTGTTGAACAGGATCTTCATATGGGAGATCAAGTTGTGAAAGCGATCTTCCCTGTAATAAAAATAATAAAATTTGAACCTTTTTGGTGTGGCTTTTAGAGTAGAGAATCAGTGGTTGGCGGACCGTTCTTAGCATTTAGAATATTATTGCCATTGCCCCTCTGATTAACCCTGCATGGGTTTACAGGTTCAAATCCTGTGAGGAACAATTATGTGCAGGAGATTGCCGGACTGCTTGTTGTTGTAGGGTGGTTCATGTACCCGAAGGTCATTTAGATAATACATATCAACAACAACAAGTTCAGGTCCTTTATGGGATAATTTGTAATCAATCTTCCTGCTTATACGGGCCATTCCAAGCAAATGTTGAATTTTATCAATTTTTCAAAAAGTGCAGTAAAAGTAATTGTTTTGTATTTTTTATATCAAAAGACACTTGAACTTTATTGGACTGCATTCATTTCGTGGAAAAAGTTAAAATTTCACCCAGGTTTTTGATGGTTTACACAAAATGGCCTGAAATGTAAAAATTTTGATATAATTGACATTTTTTGTGATACCTCGTAACAAAAAGTGTTTGATTGTTTGGTACAGTTACTTCATTTCAAAAAGATGCACTGGACTTAAAGTTAATGAAGATTAAATGTTTGCAATGCTGTAGGACATGTCTTTCTTTATTTGAAGATTTGTTGTTAGAATTTTAAGAGATGATTCCGCTGTTCCGAAGTGGAAAAATGTCCAGTAATGTCACGTCCTGTAGAGTCACGTACAATGTGCACATTATCGTCATAGATCTAGAGTGTTACTATGAGTAACTCGAGTGGCATATAGAGGGGTCCTTCAGTTACTGCACCAGAAAACATTGAGGGCTGCCGCTGTACCAGCGCAATTTACAACATAGCACAATGAAATGTTAATGCATGGTGGATTTGCTGTCCAGCAGAGTCGTGCTATATTTTAAAATATATTTTATATCCACTAAGTGAGTCATAAGTGTAACTTTCGTGCAGTTCTGTTCAAACCCCATAAAGCAATGGATTGGACAATAATACAAAACATGTAGCTGGCAATGTAAAAATATATTGCATAAAACAACATGCAAAATTTCTGTAATTGTCCTGTATAGTCACTTGGAATAGACCCTATGTAAATCTAGTTCTAACATATTACAAAGGAAAGTATTAACATACTTGTGGATCTTCGGGTATTGGTTGCATATCAAACACTGGTTCTGTTGTTGGTAGTACAGTATCAGTGAATGGATCGAGTGTGCAATTGCTTGCTCCTTTGCACTTTCGTAATGTTCCTACCATGCCAAGGAAGACATCATGTTGCTCCTTCGACAAGTCAGTCTCACGATTTACTAACTGTTGAACACAATATATATGTTGGCCTATTGTTATTTGGAAGGACTTGAAACATACAATATTTGAATGCACTCTAGGAACTAAAATTTAAACCTTGAAACAAGTTGTCGTCAAAAAATGACATAAGGTGTTGTACTCAAGGTGGCTCAAGGTACAATCAAAAAAACTGATTGTATTATTCATCCCTGTTTACATTTTTTCCTGACAGTTCAGACTGTCGGTGTGGCGCATCATGCCATGGGTTAGGACTACGCAGGTTTGAATTCCATGTAGGGATAGTTATGTGCGAGAGGATTGCTGAATTCTTCGCCGCCGTAGGGTGGTTCACGTAACCGGTAGACGGTTGCAGCTTTCTTCACCATCAAGTCCATGCATCCGAAAACAAATAACTGGCTAACTAATCCCATACCAAACATTGACAGGTAACCGGACGAGAGGTTCGCCACAGGATTAAGCCATCTTATTGACTTTCCTCTCCACAGGATAAATATGTGAATCCTATCCAAACCTTCTCAGTGAGAATATGCTTTCGGCAAACTAACATACAGACACAAGTAAAACGCATACAAGGATATTTCAAAACAACAAATGATTTCATCATATACAAATATATATTCAGAAAAAGCACCTACTTGACATTATTTGTCAATGATTCACGAAAAATAATTTTATCAAAATAAATGAAAGATCACCTGAGCAGGGTCTCTGTTCATTTCAAAGAATTCAATAAATCCAGTGATAAATTGACAATATAATAAATTTGTGTTTTCATTAATAATCCTCACACACCAGTACGTATTATTATTAGAATTTGTGCAATAACATCGATCATCTCCTAAAATTTAATAAAAAACAAATTAATAAAAATGAATTATTATGCTGAACTATGCAAATGACTTTGTCAGAAACATCTATTTAGTAATAAAGATATTAAAAAGACCAAAATAATAGTTTTTGTGTATTCACAAAATACAGGTTCAAGCTATACCAATTTTATGCCCTCCGCTGCACACAAATAAGAACTAATTTTCAATGATATAACCAAATCGTCAAACAATAAATTTTTTCTAATCACTTTTGAGTTTTTTTTTATAAATTGTGTAGTATCTACAAAGAACAATTATAACATAAATTTTAATCATAATATGAAGGCTATAACCCAAAAGAGCAAAAGTTGAAAAAGCTGTTTTGAGAAAATTAGGACAACACATATTTAATTTTAAATTCCTGTATTTTTTTTAGCTGAAGAAGCACCAATTTCCTAGCAATATCCTCAATGAAAATTTGTTCAAATATCGTTCTTTGTCTTGAAACCCTTAAAACATGAATGCATAGCTAGGCTTTTCGGGCTACTGAAGCCTCTCTTTGTAACGGTTTTGGTTTTCGTGTATCCACATTAGACTTTCATCACGGGTGTCGCAGCTCGATAATCAACATTGTTTTATTCGCGTCACCCTTCAAGATGAAATGCCATTTTCATGTTTTTTGCTAGTTTTTATTTGCAACAAGTGTATGTTCATTTAAAAAATATACTACTGATTGACTAATCATTTCTTTAAATAGAAAAATAAAAGTGAATTTACCATCCCATTTTGGTTCAGTGTGCCAAGTTGACTTCGTTAATTTGAAACAAATCACTCCATTTGTACCACATTTCTTATATCTGAACCTTCCACTTTTTTCTCTTGCGGCAATGCGCCTCTGTTTTTCCTGTCTCATTTCTTTTATCAATCGCACAGTGTCCCGATGTTCCATAAATTTTCTTTGTCGCTCAGTAAATTCTTTGTCTTCAATTTGGGCTCTACAAATATTTAATAAAAATTTGAAAGAAGTTTTTTATATGTGCAAGGCAAAATAAGATGGATAAAATTACTGTATCTAGCCCTGTGATTATCTATTCACTATAAGCAATGTTGAAATTAGGAAATTTGTAGCTTAGATATAAAGTAAATTTTAAGTGTGTTCATTCAATTCAAAATCAAACATTAAGGGCATATGTTCTAGAAACAAAGTTCCCGAGGTGCTCCAGAAGTATGGACCAATAATTTGGTTCACCTATTCTACAGACACATACGTTACTGAAAACATAGAATACATCACTCAGGTAGACTGCTGAGCGTTCACACACAATAAAAAACACGTTTTATCAATAACTCACTACAGAAAAGAGTCATATGTCAGAATTGCGTTGAAATGATATGGCTTCAATAAAAAAAATTGAGAAATTTACCTCGACCATTGTCGGAAGGAAAAAAAAAAAGATGGCGGCGATTCGAAATTTTGCTCTGAACGGATTCGAATAATTTACCATTCAATTCGATCCGAAATGCCCAGCCCAAACTCTAAGTAATCTATATCAGCGTAGTTCTCACTTATGGCTTATGGATAGAAAAAATGATGTCACAATAAAGGATACTAACAAATCTGTCAGTGGATGGGTTATGTTTCCTTGCGTCTCCAGTTTAACTTTGGGATTCTTCTGCTTAGGAGGAGGTGGAGGAGGACAATCACACATACGTACTCTTGATTTGATCATTTCATCATATGAATTTAAACAGGATCTCAATGTTTTCATATACCTGAAAAAAGGTGAAAAAAATGTGATATATACTCAGCGACAAATAATGTAAATAAATTTTGAATTACACTACATTTACACAACCATAGCAAAATGATAAAAGTTATATTGAATTTTCCGACAACATTAGATATATGCTTATACAGGGCCTTGTTCTCAGTGAAAGGCATGAATAGTGCCAAATAGAAATAAGATAGTTCTTGTCGAGAGTTTTTATTATTGTGGGCGTTAGAAAATTTCAGTTCTGTGGAAAATGTTGGCGCTTCAGAAGTATGTGTATCAATATGGAGGTATCTAATTTTGTTCTCCTACTTTAAATCAAGTTGTGTAAAAGGACGGAGCCTATGGGGAGGGGGTATATTCACTTGGCTAACCAAGACAGTCCCCAACCTGTAAAAGAACTAAAATGAAGGAAATCAGAATAAAATTATGGCCTAATCCTAACCTGGTACACATACTACGAGAGTACCAAAATTTCTAGTATTTCTATAATCTTAAAACTCACTTCATTCTGATTTGCAAAGTTTTGACGCTTCTTGCAAGATGCCCCATATGTTTCACCCATTCATGTGGATTTGTGTAAAGATTTTCGAGACATCTGATTTCGAAATTGGGCATGTATAATCTACAACTTGACGTTAAAACCATGCTGTCACGTTTCGATGCTTTGCTACCCGAACGATCCTTCTGATTATCATCTATATTCTAAAAAATGTGATAAACAATTAAAAATATAAATCAATCCAAAATACACTGTTTTAGTCAAATAGTAAATTGATAATACAACTGATATTATTTATATAAAATGTAATAATTTTAATGGTAGTTTGTTAATTTAATTCGAATGAAATAAATAGGCTAATTAATTACAAAATGCTGTTTAAATAAAAAGTGATAATGTTTCACAATCCAAACTAAAAAAGAACATTTCAACCACTCATAATGGTAGTTTTTCAATCCAACTCAAATGAATTAAATAATTTAATTACTTAATAACGGCTGTTATTGAAAATAAGTGATAATGTAAGAATAATTTAATATAAAGAATATATTCATCAAAATAATCACTATTGTCACTATATCAGTGACAAAAAATGTCACTATTACGTCAAATACTCAAAACTTTATAGCATAATAAACAAATGAAAAGCTCTAGATCAGTGGTTCTTAAACTGGGGGGCGCGCCCCCCTAGGGGGGCGCGAGAAGATTTTAGGGGGGGCGCGAAAGATTTCAAGAAACCACACTTGAGACTTTATTTTGCTTAGCCAATTTAATATTTTGAAATTTCATTTAACTCGTCGTCTTATTGCTTTATAATTTTGTGTCGTAAAATGATGCAAAATGACCCTTTTCTTTCACTACTCACTACCAGACTACGCGTGGCAAAATAGGATAAGCATGCGTGAATATGCGTTGAAATTGATTACTGTGTTAACGGTTCTGCGAGCATTGATTTCCTTGCTTAGTGTCGTAACAATGACCAATCAGCATTAAGTCAACAATGACGGTACAATAGAAGTCGGTCAGACAGATGTTCGAGCATGGCTGTTAACGTTTTGTCGTTTTCGTGGTTTTGTGTATTAGCCTATTTGACAGCTTTCAGTTGTGCCTCCAAAAATAGCTGTATATCGAATACCTTAATTTTCATCATATTTTTCGATGAGCTGTAGATTAGTTGCAATAAGTAATAAAACTTGATACCGCAAACTCTGTGATGACCTAACTTATGCCATAAGTATCTGTAAGCGGCACACGGTATTTAGTTTTGGATAAAATTGACAGTTTTGACCATTTGATGTATATCTTTTCTTTGGGCTGAAAACGTACATATATTTAATTGCACTTTTCCATTTTGTAAACTGTATTGTTTGTAATCTCATCAGGTAGATTGGCTTTGAATATTTGAGAAGTTGAGCAAGCCATGAAGTCTGCAATCGTTGTGTATTGTCAGAAACAGTAGATTGACTTTTGAATATAGCTCAGTAGTGATGTTAAGAAGTAGTTTAACAATTGAGTGAGTTTTTACGTAATCATTTATTGCATTTAGTTTAGATTTAGTTGAAATTTAGTTGTATTGCAAAATGAGCGGGAAAAAGAGAAAGTATGATGAAGATTATCTTAGGTATGGCTTCATATATACCACAGTGAAGGGCGAGGTTGTACCGCAATGCATTTTGTGCTTTGAAAATCTCAGCAATGACGCTATGAGGCCAACTCGCTTACAGCGACATCTTAAAACAAAGCACCCTGCACATCAGGAAAAACCTTTAGCTTTTTTTCAAAGCAAAAAGGATTCATTTAAAAAAATGAGGACTTGTAGCATAAATTCATTTTGTCAGTCGCCTTCTGCAGATGTAGTAGAAGCTTCTTTTGAAATTGCTCATATGATTGCGAAGCAGAAAAAACCGCACAGTATAGGGGAGACATTGATAAAACCGAGTATTTTAAAAGCTGCTAGTCTTGTTTTGGGAGAGGCGAGCAGTAAGAAACTTGCAAAGAATTCTCTTTCGGATTCTACAATTAAAACAAGAATTGATGAGATTGCACACGACATTGAACTTCAGGTTATCGAAAAAATAAAGCTGTCGCCATTTTTCGCCATACAATGTGACGAAACTACTGATGTTGCCAACTTGTGTCAGTTGTTGGTATATGTCCGTTTTGTAGGATCAAGTTCAATTGAAGAAGACATGCTCCTTTGCAAACCTCTCGAGACGACCTCTAAAGCTGAAGATGTATTCAAACTTGTTGCTGAATTTTTTGAAAATAATGAATTGAAATGGGATAAACTTGTAGGTGTCTGCACTGACGGTGCGCCGGCTATGATAGGATCTCGTAGTGGATTTATTGCCAGAATAAAACAAAAAAATTCCGACGTTATTGTATCGCACTGTGTCATCCATGGAAAGGCTTTGGCTTCTAAGACTCTCTCTACTTCGATGAAAGATAAGCTTGCGATAATAATACGAACCGTCAACTACATTAAAACTAGTGCCGTCAATACACGAATGTTTGACAAATTCTGTAAAGATATGGATTGTAATTACGAGAATCTGCTTTTCCATACAAATGTTCGGTGGCTATCGAAAGGAAACGTGTTAGCACGTGTGTATGAGATGAGGAATGAGCTTACGCGATTTCTGGAAGCTCAGGAAAAATACGATCTTCTCCTTTATTTCAAATCAGATGAATTTGTGCTGGTCATGGCCTACCTTGTGGACATTTTTGAATCTCTGAATAAATTAAATCTACTATTACAAGGCAGAGAAACTAATCGAATAACTGACTACGGTTTCATTCGTGCTTACATAGCGAAGCTTGAATTATGGTATCGCCGAGCTCGACAAGGAAACGCAGCCTCATTCCCCAATCTCGATACTGCTCTTGACGAAAAACAAATCAAGCTTGATGGTGATTTCAAGAGCGATATTGTGTCCCACCTACGTCTTTTAAAAGAAGAATTTGAACGCTATTTTCCAGATTTGAATGACACAGAACTTCCAGAATGGAAACTTACAAGAGATCCATTTCGTGTCGATGAAGACATTCTTCCAAGCAACTTGCAAGAAGAATTTTTGGATATGAAATTTGATTCATCTGCAAAAGACGACTTTGAAGACATGCCGCTAACCGACTTCTGGGCAAAATATGTACGCATATATAAGAGAGTAGGTAGCGTAGCAATACGCACTCTGCTTCCGTTTTCATCTACCTACCTTTGTGAAAGCGGGTTTTCTACTCTGGTGAATATAAAGACAAAACAACGGAATAAACTTCAATGTGAATCAGATATGAGATGTGCGTTATCTGCTACAGTTCCTCGAATTAAATTACTTGTTTCGCAAAAACAGATTCACCCCTCTCATTGACGTTATTTGTGAATAAAATCTTGTTTCGTTGAATGCATGTTTGTGCCTCAATTTAGGGGGGGGGGGGGGGGGGGGGGGGGGCGCGAAATCTGTACGATTTTTCAAAGGGGGGCGCGGCTCAAAAAGTTTAAGAACCACTGCTCTAGATGATGCCAGATCTATAGAATACTAGCTAGCTAAGGTGACAGAATCGAAAAACAAAATTTAAAATCAACATACTTGTGTTGGAATGTCTCTTTTGAATCTTCTTTTATTTAACGTTTTTGCTTTTCGAAGGTTGTTATATGAATTCCACGTTCTTTTCTGGGCATTCTATTAAAACCAGAAATAGGAATAATCAAAACTATTCGATGTGGGTAGGATACAAATATCATTTCAATTGGTACATTATTAGAAATCTGGGTAGGATACAAATATCATTTCAATTGGTACATTATTAGAAATCATTCTCTATGTAAATAAAGAACCAAAGAAAAGAACTCTGGGTCATTAAAAGTAAAGTGTTCAAACTGCTAAGTGCTAACATATTTCTCATTCGAGCAAAATTCAAAATAGTGAAACACATGAACCCCAAAAATCAGTTCAAGAACCATGCATCTGAAACAAATAACTGGTTAACGATTTCCATACCCAAACTGAACTGGTAACTGGATGAAAGGCCACGCTTGCCAAATAATTGAGCTATCTTACTAGCTTTTACTTCCTTGGGTTAAATATGAGAATCATTTCTCAACTGTTACTTGTTTTATTAGAATGAAACAACATTGGGGATAAAAAAAAAGCCCCATAGTGGTATGAACAATTAAATTCTGGATGACCAAAAAATTTTTCAATTACTTTTCTAAAATGAAGAAAACTTATTTACCTATATCCTCGCATATAAGACGAGTTTGAATCTCGAAAAAAAGTTGCCAAACTAAGGGGTCGGCTTATACGTACATAACTCGCTTGTAAATACGTCAAATGGCATGTTACAATTTGTAGGGCCGGCTTATATGCAAAGTCATATAAATTCACTGTTTAGGGCCGTTTTTGGAGGGTTGGCTTATATGAGAGGATATATGGTAAACCTTGAACTTCTGTTTATGTATGATCATACCAAGTACAATAGGAAGCTTTGCACAAAAGTTATGTCCTTTCTAGAATATGTTCCGAATAGCCTGGGTGTCATCCAGTAAATAGATAAGTAATCACCATCATATTCCGATAGGAATTCCTTTTCGATAATCTGTTTCTGTTCCCACGTTGATTTCTATAAGCACCAGATGATCCAAGCCCTCGTCGACTACATGTTTGTAAAACATTTACTTCATCTGAATCTCTGTCTATTCCATCTAATGGATTATGATCAGCAGGACAAGGACATTTTCTTCGTCTATAATTTATGCTGGGAATAAAATTAACCAAGTTATTTAAAAAGAAAATTACAGTATTTTGAACTGAGAATGCCCATGAGTTCGATAAATTTACAACATTTAAAAACCAATACTATATTACAGCAAACCTAAACTTCAAAACGGTTTATTTCATCGATCGTGATAATGCGTGTATGCATTCAAAATATTGAAAATCGCATCACTTTGAATGAGACATTTTACACTGAAAAATTTGCATAATTGTATCAAAAACTGGAGGGCAGAGAAAGCTTTGCATCACAGGTACAAATCATACAATACAGTACTATCTATTATCTAATTCTCAGACCAATTTGATCTTTATTAATGGATGGAAAACAAGTTCTGTTTCGTCGTCGTCGAAAATAAAAAAATTCTGCTTTTCTTCCCATTCCGTATGACATATACCAGGCAGGGACGTCCAACCCGTGGCCCGCAAAGTTTCTGAGTGGCCCGCACGGTTTTATTCGAATCACAATGCCTTTCACAAATATGGGCCATTATTGAAACCTCTATAATAAAAAAATTATTCCTGGTCATTCAAACGCTCGAGAAGTACCACCCAGCTATCGGAAGCTTATTTCTTATTTATGACCCTTTGTGAGCGTTATTGCTGGAGAGAGATGTTTGAATTCATTTTTATCATGTGCCTTGTATTTCAATCTGTCTTTCCTATTTTTTTCTGTGAAGCTAGAAGAGGCAGTTTTTATGATCTTAATATTTGTTTTTTGCAGATGAACCATGTCAGATCCCCCCCGAGATCCCTACTTTCTGATAGTCATATGAAAAATTCGGTATGCATGGCTGCATCGCCCATCGCACCGAATATTGACAAACTTACTGGATAAAAGCGGTGTCATAGTTGGCATTAAAATATCTATGCGTGGTAAAAACTTTTAACTTAACTGTATCTTCGTATTTTCATTGTTTTTATAATTTCGATGTGATGGTTTTGTTTGTTTTTTCATTAATCAGTAGTCGGTGTAGTGAAAGCTAGAACATAACAACCATGTCAAGTGGCCCACGCAATCATTCGTAAACTAAATGTGGCCCTTTGGCAAAAAAGGTTTGACAACCCTGACATAGACCAATAGTGGGGAAACTGCAGCTCGCCAGAGTTTTCATGCGGCTCTTCTCGCTAGCAATAATTATATATTATCCAAATTTAACTATGAGAAACTGTAGCGTAACAGTTTTTTTCAATTCATTAAGCGTTTGAAGAAGTTCATTCATCAATGATTAAGACAAATTACGTTTTAATGAAAATCGAAGAGTGGAATTTAATTTAAATCAGTCAAACAAATCTTACATCTCAATGATCAAATGTTTGTTGCTGCCTTGGCGGTTTCAACTACTTCTGATATGGCCTCGCAATATATACTTTGCAATATTGTTAATATATGTTGGTGTAAAGTTCTTTTCAGTTCAATGCATTCTCATATTATTAATTTCAAAAATTATGCAGATCCCATATATTACTAACTTGCTGCATGCGGATCTTATACTGAAAAATTTTGCCCACCTCTGACATAGACAATCACTAGACCATGGTAATAACAATCACTTCCACAATAATAAACTTGAGTGGATATTTTTTCTCCATGTTAAATCGGACCACCCACGATAACACAATATACATCATTGTATTTTGTGATTACGAAATTTGAAATTTTTCTTCAAGTTTTCACTCTAATATTAAACTTATTTAGTTCTTTACATAGTACATTCTTTAATATGATAATTTGCCAAAGCACAGGCCATTGAAGAGCATAGTGCCAATTAGCAGACTGATATTGAAGCTTTTACAATAAAAAACAATATTTAAAGTTTGATTTCAATGTCCATAATTTTCTTCACTAATAGAGGAAAAAATTGATTATATCAACAAGATTTGATTTGGTGAACCCAATTCCTGGACAATAAACGAACAAGATTACTATATTGAATAGAATGAATTTCTGGGACAATTTGGAACATTCATTCAATTTTAAAACTTTCACTGTGACAAGCTGATTTGACAAGAATGATTCCATAAGTCGTAAACTAGTAGTATTCTGCCATCCATTGTATATAAAGGGGGTCACTAAAAAAGCAGAAAACTTGAAGGTCAGATGAGACCACGAATAAAAAACGTGCTTACTCATTTCTTTTTCGATACATATTTCTTTCTTTCAGGTTCTGGGTTCTTTCAGGTTAATATCGTTTAGGTTCTATTTTATTTCAATATAATATGTTTTGTTATTTCTATATACCAGTATGTTATATTTATTTATATATACCATATGCCTTCAAAAAAACGTTGTAAAAGTTATTCTTTGTAAAAATATACAGCTGTTTGACACATTTTCTGTTTTTTAGCAAGCAACCTGTACTTAACATTTTTAAAATTGCATAATGAAATTTAATTCAGATTCAGATATACCGGTAGTTCAAAAATCTCATCTGAATATACACCTGTTTAGCCATTTGCCATGAAATGTTGAGTGGATTTGGCCTTGAACCCAAAATATCCAACCTGTTATTCTAACCTAATTAGAGCAACTAATTAACCATAAATTGGGTTGCAGGGTTAGTAGGGTTTTAGGTCAACAGATTAGACCAAAATAGTACCGGTTTGGGCCTGCTATCACCTCAATCCAGGAGCAGATTTAGTGATTTAATCTGGCAAGCTGATACATCATCTACCAATGCACTTCTCGTGATTGAAACAGATGTACATATCACAATTTGAATATTAGTTTTGAATATATTGAATTAGTCTTTTGGCATCACGCTAGAATTGACCCCAAAACCTTAATAATTTGTAACCTTTCACCCTAATTTAACTACCGTGTTCACCGGTATATATAAAAATAGGAAAAGCATTAAATCTCACCAAATATAGATATTATTCAGTAAAGCTTTAAAAGCTTTGGTCAAATTTTGAAATATTAACAGTATCATCTTGTTTTCTTTAACATGGACTCATGAGAATACAATTCTATCTTTATGACAATATACCAACATACAGCAATCTTTCTTAGTTAAATTGGACTTTTCCTAATATCGCGTATAATTTTTGAAATAATTTTTTCAAATATTGAAGAAAACACTGGCTACTAATTTTGACCAAGTCATGGTAGTGATTGTCATTGCTTATTTGCATTCCGTTTTATGCTCGTTAGAATTACAAAATAATTGAAAATCTGGAAAAAAGGTAAATACTCACTTTATTCTTCGTCTCGGCTTTGGTGGCTTTTTATCCTTTTTACATTTCTGCAACCTGTCAAAACAAAGCATGAAAAATCATAAATATGAGTTAAAGGAGGATATTAAAGTAACCATTATAGACTTTAAATGATCTATTGTCCACAATAAAACTGTGATAACAGTGAAACATGTACCATACTTGTACCAGTTATAATAGTATAATAATAGACAAATATAAATGTACCAATTATCATTATCCGGAGCTGGACTGTAAATAATATCCCTAGTTTCACATCCACTTAAATGTATTATTAACTGTCATTGAGGCAATTTCATCAGAATAAAAAGCTTGACAACAACAGCTGTGGCCTTGGTGGCGCCATATTTTTTCTGTGGTTTATTGATGGAACAAGGCTATTATTTATGGTTGTCTAATTTTTCCAGCAAAAAGTGCACAATTTTTATTCCAGACTAGTTGTAAATTTTTTTACAAGATGGATAAATCATGAACATTAAAATGAAGACAAATTAGTTTCGTCTCTATACCAAACATTTTTAAAATGGCAACCGAAGTTCAGGCGTTGATGCGCGATACCAGGTTAGTAAGGTCAATTTATTTTGGGAGTTTCTAAAAAGAGGTTAGAAACAGGTATTTTGAGCCGTATGACAAGTGGATCAAAACATACGATATCTTAACTTGTAAGAAACAACATAGAGAAAACAATGACTGCTTAACTTATGTTGTTTTAGATGTGATCAAGATCATGAAGTTCAGGCGTTGATGTGCGATACCAGGTTAGTAAGGTTACAACAACTTATTTTGAGGGCATCTGAAAAGGGTTGGAAACAGGTATGTTTGCCAACGCCAGAGCTCAACTGTTAAGGTAGTATGCTATGGTGTCGAACAATTCAAAATATATTACTATGATTAAGCCAAAGTGTTATACTTGTGTAAGATAATGAAGTTGGCCAGAAAAATTAAAAGGCAAACAATTTAAATAATTTTCCATGTCGTAAAAGTGTAATCAAGTTACCATTTTAAGATGCCAATGAGCTGTAATGTTTACTTAGAGAAGAGAAAGGAACATTGGTCGATACACCCGTCTGAACATTATCTAAATATAGATATTCTAAAAACCATTCTTATAAATTAAAGAACTCAAAAACAAAATTTTTACCTTAACTTTCCTTCAGAGTCTGTCACACATGTCCAAAATTGACTGATCTGACAAGGGTTGACATAATTTGGTGTCTGACATAACTGAAAAGCAATTATTGACGTCAGCTGTTTATTATTAAAAGATCTCCCGCTGCGTCATAACTGTCTGGACTGTGGGTAAGGCGCCGTTAGTTTACTAATGTTAGTCACCCGGATGTTGACTTTGATGACTGGGGAATTTCAAAGAATTTCTTCCATTCAAGTGATTAAACCCCAATAAGCCTAAAAACATACCAGGGCCATGGATGTAATGAATATAAATAAGTGGATGTATACGGAACAATTTCTATATTAGCTATAAAAGAGAAAAGGTGACTCTTCAAAAAGCTCTATAGTGGAAATGAGCAAAAATATATTTTCAATTTTAAAACTTCTGAACATTTATTTTATTGAATATACTTTGGTGAATATAGCATCATTTCAAACTACAATTTAATCTCAGCTTTAACAAGCTGCATCTTATTAATATTTTAACATTTGCCCTTATGTCCTGAAACTCTTAAAATTACTTTATACTTGTATTTGAATGATTGCGAACAAAAAGAGTTTTAGGCCTAAATTCAAGAATTATGATCGAACTGATAGATAACCTATTCTACATATATACGGCCATGCAGGTATATTATATATTAACCAAGAATAACTGGTGAATTTGGATTTTTGCCTCACTGTTTCAATCAATAGATTATGATTTATAAATCTGTTTTATGACTTAATAATCTGCTTTTTATTTCACATCATATTGCTTAGCAACTGGAAAATATTTGTAAAGCATACATATGTTTATGAACCATCATTAAATATTTCATATAAAATATCTTTTATTAAGCAGTGCTTTGATCTGAATTGAAGCCATAATAATGTGTATGTAAATTGCATCTAGACAGATATCACAAACATGCCTTCCAAACAAATTATCGATACTAAAAAAGTTACAAAGAAAGCCTTTGAAAGAGCCTTTCTCCTTAAATATTTCTACCTGCAGGTGATGATTATATATTAACAGATGTGAGATAAACTGAACTTGCCAACGTCAGGCAATATTATTACATCATCATTTTATTTTTGAAATATGAAAACATTCCCTAACTTGATGTACTCGAAAATCGATTATGGTCCTTCATAGCAGTCTGAATGTAACATGGATATTACCACCTGTACTTGGAATCTTATCTGCATGAAATATTGTAGTGTGTGGTCGTCAAAACTTCTCTAATACAATGCACACCTGTGGTATTAAAGTGATGCAGTTTCCCAAGCCACAAAATAAAATTACTAAAATAATGCAAAGATTTTTTCTAAGTATCGATGTCTATTGAGTATGCATCATTGGTTTTAATTTCAAATTCAAGAGTCTATATTTTTATGGGTATATTGTTTAAATATAATCAAATTTCTAGAGACACTATAGAGATCATTTCATTTTTTAATATTAATTTCATATAATTTATCAAATAGTGGTTTTTAAAACTATCACACTGTGTTCTTCTAGCCTCTGGGATGTTTCTCTGGTTCTGATTTACTAAAAAAAGTTGAAAACCAATGGTGTACATTAATTGGTATATAGGACAAATATATAGTAAATGTCTTATTACCATGCAACCGAATCGAATAATCTTCAAAGCTAGTATGTAAACAGACTTTTAGCTTGTTCATTTAATATAATAAATAAACAAAAACCACATTCCACGACTGTACTTCACCTTTCAACAACAACACTTATGTTTATAAAGAATTTTCTCATGATCAAGACTAGGAATTTTCTTACTGATGGTAAATTTGATAAAATTCAAGTTTATCTGCTTTGAAGTCATTACATAGATCGCAGACAGATAATGACTGTCCAATAGAGCAGATGATACAGACAAGGGGGTATTGTGAAGGTGCAATCTTATATACATTAAAATATAAAGTTTCAAGTTTCACAGAATGACAAATGCATGTTTTCAAGGCCGCAAATAAGTTTATAAATTCATGGTGATAATTGACATCACAGAAATATTTAGAATTTTTTTTGAAATTCTTTGTAATTTTGAAAATCGAAATGTTACTAACAAAACAACCTCTTAAAAATGGCATTGATTGTCAATATTATTTAAAGAAAACCATTTTTCCATTTATTCAGTACATCTTACTTACTATCAAAAGGGTAAGCAATCACTTCATGTCTAGCCATTCTGTATTAAATAACAGGAGCATCAGAATTATAATTTCATAGTCACGTGGGCGTCACCTCAAATTATCTGGATGATATTCAATTACGACTGATGTCATCAATCATAATTATTATAAAAACAGCAACAGATGCTTGGATCAGGAGCAAACTAGCTAGATAAGGTTTGTTTATTCAACATTTTTGTGTATTTTCGTTTGTATGTTTTTAATAAAGCTATACTCCTGAGATACGCAGATCTTTAATTGGAAAAAAAATATATATTATACATAAGCTTGAAAAGATTTGATACTTTTAGACTTGATAAACCGGTACTCCCATATTGTGTGTACCAGGCTAGAGTTAGGCCATAATATTATTTCGATTTTCCTTTTTTAGTTCTATTACAAGTTCGGGGACTGTCTGTGCTAGCCAAGTGAATATTACCCCCTACCCAAAGGTTTTAGTCCCTTAATACAACTTGATTTTAAGTAGCCGAACAAAATTAGTTACCTTCACATTGGTACATACACTTCTGGAGTGCAGATAATTTTAATTTTGTCAGGACAAAAATTTGACGACAATAAAAACATCTATTTTGGTAACTCAACAGTGCTCAACAAAAAAAATATCTACCGGTAAGGATTTCAAAATTCCAATATAAAGTATGATTGCTAAAATATTGATAATTTGAACAACCCGCATATGATTAGCCAGTACAGATCGCATACAACGGGAATTTATTATTTCAAAACAAGGATGCTAAAAAAATCAAAGTTGAATAGAAAATTATAACACTTTATCTAATCCTGACTGACATAATGAAGATACTATCATAATTATAACTTTGAAAAAGGCTTCAAAATGGCAATTTTGGTTACACTGTATAAGCCAAAAACATTTCTTCGAAATACATATACACAATGGTCCACAAGTTTTGTGACATTTTAAACTGCTTAAATAATTTTTTTTTGAATCAACTCAAACTTTCAGAAGTATATTTATAGTGTAGCATAACAGATGGTCCAAGTTTATGAGCATGAGGTGATTCAATGACTTTTTAATTTGACATGATATTACATTTCGCAAAAATTACTTTTTTATTATTATAAAAAACGTTGCATTCATTAATATGAATTCACGTTTATCACCAAAAATGACGCAATTCAATAATGCTTATTAGCTTCTCTAACTGATGCATTTTGTTCTATGACCAAAAACAAGGAAGGAGCGGATGCTCCAGAGATGTGTGGACTGCGATAACAACACAGTTAGGTCTGACACTTAAACCGCTAGTCCGTCATGCACTATCCTCACTAAATAATTAGTGTATCAAGGAAAATAGAATTTGCGTTAAAACCAAACATATTCAAACATTCAAATTTAGTCACATTTGATAAAGAAAATTTTCTTTTTATAAGTAATTCAAACTTTTATTATTATATTAGATAATCATGCTTGAGCAAAAAGATCAATAGAAATAATTAAAAAGACGATTCTTATCATATATCGCATTGGGGAGAAAACAGTCGACATAAAACTTTTCCAGCAAGAAAAAACTCCACGCCAATAAGCGGTAGAAAAATACATTCAAGAAAATTCAAATCCAATCCAGTCATGTAGCTAATTTAAAAGTCAAAGAACTCGTCGTAAGAACTTGTAATTTACAATATTTTTTTTTTGAAAAAAAATACAAAAAAATCATTAATATATTTTACCTTTTTCAATTTCTCAATCTTTGTTTCCTTGGGCATTTTTGGACGAACCAGGTGTGTTCGATTTCGTGGTAATTTTCCACGCTCCACAAGGAAGCTGTCACGCCATGGTTTGGCTTCTAGTTTTTCCTCACTAAATGACAAATAGTCACGTACAATTGTGTGTATATAAGGACATGTGACATGATGTAAAGTAAGATTGATGAGTTTTTTCATTTATAAAATGAAGTCAAATGTTAACAATGCCTTTGGAAATCTAAGGAGCATGCACAAAAAATTTTAAAAAAATTCCATTACCCAGGCCTACCAATACTGAGTAAGTTATGAGAATATTTCACACAATATTTCCAGTAAGTTTATATAGCAATAAGAAATTTTTTTTGTATCCAAATGGTAATAAGATGCGCATAGACCAATATTCATTACATTGCACCTGTATATTTTCATTAATGTTTTATGCTTCATTGAAGATGAGACATATATTAAAATATTTATATGCCAATAAAAGCAGGAGACAAGAAGTCATCTGCATACATAAAAGAATTAACAGGAAACTGCTTTTTAGAATAAAGGAATACTTTCAGTTTGGAATTTACAACTCAATTCAACACATCCCTGAATCTGAATGAGAAAGTTGGCAGTGAGGTAATAGAAGAAGTCTATAACTTGCGGCAACATTCAACTTGGGTCTGATTCATAATCCCTATGTCACAGTTTTATCTGGTTTATTCCAGAATCCAGAATACGTTGCATGCCAACTAAATCCACTGCTAATTGACAAGGAAGTGGAAAATAACCAAAGTATACAAGCGGATGATTGAACCATATGGCAAAGACATTTCATTTCCCAACAGACTATGCATTGGTAATGATGCATGACATCAGAAAATTACAACAAAATGATAGATTGACCGCACTAATACTTGAAAAATTCAATATTTACATTCATAACTAAATTGGTTCTGGTTGTTCACACTGACTCTAAGTAAAAACGCGACAAATGTTTTAAAGGGCAGTTTGTTGAAATTTTATGTTACAATAACAGAAAACAAATTTTGGGTCCAGCAAGTGGAAAATACCAAACTCCACAGCACAGTACACACATGAGAAATATCTTTAAAAGAATTTTTGCAATTCCGTCTTGTTGAAACCAATCTCTTTTAAATATGCAATACAATTCACAATGAATACAGCTTTTTCAGGTTGGTAAAATAATTTGCTCACAAGTAATTACTTACTCGAATAGATCTAATAAATTTCTACCATCCATATCCACAGGAACAGAAACACCAGCTATTCCAAGTATAGTTGGAGCAATGTCGATATTTAGAGCAATTTTGTTCGATCTATAAAAAATGAAAAAAAATGTAGAAATGATAGAAATCATAGAAATGAGCTGCATGATGAAATTATAACCGATATCATTTTACATATGAATTATATAATACCTATATAAAAATATATTTATATTTTATATATGTTTATGTAAACGAATAAAAAAAAGAGATCAATGCATAAATATGTGTGGACAAAAGATGGCCCATACCAGCCCCATACCTTTACCGGCTTACTGAAATCAATTAAACGAAGAACCAACACAATCTACAGCAGATATGGGCAATGTTTTCGGACCAGGGGCCAAAAATTTTGCCCGCTTAAACTGGCGGGCCATGTAAGTGTAATAACGTTAAAAGTTACATTTTATGAACAATATTTACAGTGTTACAAAAGCAAAAGTGGAAAACAATAAGACTCGTTCCAAAACCAAATTTAATCACAATTTCAACAAACTCCTTGAGCTATTTTTCACTAAACATAAAATTTGGGTTTTAGTGTGGTTGTGCCAGCATCGAACGGGCCAGATTAAATTACCAAACTGGCCGGATTGGGCCCATGGCCCATACACACGTGTTGAATCAATATTTCAAAATGAGAAAAATTTAAGTAAACAATGAACTTCAGAAAACCCCAAGAAAGATTTCTGGTTGACAAATTAGAGGCGATCCACTTGACAATTGACAATGTTTAATTTTTGTCCTACATGAACCGCAATTGCAAATTCCAAAACGATTCAATGGGCGACATGATGGCCTAGCTAAGCGTCAAAGCGCCTTCCAAATAATAAGTAGCTTCTTGCATGTTGTTAGATATCAGTGGCTGCTTCATAGGGCATTGTTCGCAGCGAAAAGAATGTAAAAAGGCGCTCCCGAAGTATGTGCACCAAGATGGCGCACAACCTGAACCCTAACCTGGTACACATGCTACATTCAGGTTGTGCGCCATCTTGGTGCACATAATTCGGGGGTTCCGTAAAAAATCTATATTGCTTGCTCATTTGAAAAAGTTATATTAATAGCCTATTTTCCAACAGTTCCATTGAAAAAGCAATTTACAATTTACCTTTAAACAGCTGAATGCTGTAGGTGCTATATTTTTATAATTCACCAATTCAATAACATGCTAAATCATACTTGTAATTGTTAGGCAATCCAGGTCCCCTTACAAAAAAAGGTATTCGAATATCAAAGTCATAAGGCATTGACTTCCCCTTTGGAATGCCAAATTGTCCGATATGGTATCCATGGTCAGATGAGTATATGATGTAAGTATTCTCCAGTTCATTAATATCCCGGAGCATGTCGATTATCTAAAATCAAATTAGGTTATGTAAAATTTTTATGTGTTCTAATAATGTGATGATGGAAAATCTTAAGATATATCTTCTTCTGCAAAATATTGAGGGTCTTGTACTCTTGATGCATGACTGACTGTGTTGTCATCACAGTTCACACCCAGGTTCAAATCCCATGCCGCCATATCAACTGGGGTGTAATAAATTGGATAGGTCCGGTCTTTCCAAATAATAAGTAGCTTCCTACATATCGTTAGATGAAGGGCCATGCTTGGAGAGAAAGGCATAATTAAGCATTGTATAAATAGAAAAAAATATCATTTTACATGCTGAATTGAAGTAGAATAAAAAATAATGTAAGCTATTTGATCGGAAAAATCAGGATTCAATACTTTTTATGATTCAATAATTTTCTCACCTCAAATCATTAAATTCAAAATATCTTTAAGAACATAAGAGACATTTCTGTTATTTCCTGCCTATAGTCATTCGTCAAAAACTTCCATAATTTATATTAGATGTTTTGAATTTCATATATATAATAATAATATTGATATTATGAAAACTTCATCTATGCGCCATTAATTTTAGGAAGGATGTTATGATGACAAAACTATAGATAACACCATATCAAATTCTTGACTAGAAAACTACATCCTGTTTAAAATTTGTACTGGTATCATATGAAATCAAGTATTAATAAAACATTGAATCCTCAATAATAGACCCTAAGATACTTGCTAATTGGAAGTCATTTTGTTATTATTACTGATTTCCATGAATCTATGACCCATGTCTGGTCAAAGATTATAGATAGTAAAATTAAACTGCTAAACTGCTGAGGCAGAAAAACCAGCCAGACATTTTGGATAAAGAACGAGACAAATTACTATGTTCTGGTTACAACTAATGACATATATTTTAGATGATAAGATGAAGTTACACCACACACACACACACAAAAACATATGTTCGAGTTTCACAGGAAAAAAAATACATTTGTAAAACTACTATGCAATTTGTTACATTTGTTAAATCAGGACAATACTAAATATTAAGAACAACTTCTTAAACTATCAGTTGGGATACTAACTAACTCCCTATTCGCACAATATGCATTTGCGCTAGTCGTTCCAAATGCTTATCAAAAATAAAGATGACCTTAATTTTATGATTTAAGAGTCTTTGTTCTGTTCTTCCTTCAATTAATCAGTATGAATACTCCAGTAGCCAGTTTTTTTTTGCATATTAATATTGGAAGAAAATAAATAAAATTTTACGGCTTCATGAAAAAAGTGTAATTGATTGTTTCGAATGGCCACCATTGTATCGACTTTACTTTTGATTCTCGATTTGGAAACAGAACGAAACAAGAATACTAATCAGGTTAAAAACTATTTTTACTGTTGTTTGAATGTATACGATTCCCACACACGTAGCGTCAGTGCTTTGCATTGAATCATTTGACGAGTTTTCTGATTTTTCAAAAATGTAGCCTACCACGACAAAAATGCCAAGTTTCTGAATGAAGGCATTTTGAAATGTTCAGAACTGAGACAATTCTTTTTTTTATTCTTAAATCAAACTAAATAGCCAAATTACTTCAATTAACAAATCTTTCAATTTAACCACAATATAATTTCTTGGACCTCTCACACTTGTGCCAAAACCACATTCATAAATTAACATTAAAAAGCTTGAGGATAAATTAAAATAATCGAAAACGCATTCTACACAAACAGTATATCATCCATTCATTATACCTATGGTATTTATCATGCAACAAAAGTCCATCATAAAACTGAGTCATTTAAAGATTATGCCTGTCATTTAAATGTTTGTTCAATCAGGTGCAGCTTCAGGTCAATTGTGTAATCTATAATGAGTGTTTAATGAATTCCGTTAGGAATTCTCTCTGGATTACCCACAACTATGCACAGGCCAATAACGACTCCGCAACTATGACAACAATTCCTCATTTGATACAAAAACCACAGTTTTTGCGTCTCTCGCTCAATCTTTAAACAAGGACTTGCATTTTTTTGCAATAAGGCCGAGGCGCTAACTGCCCCTTGCTAAATAGAAACGTTACTTCTGTTCAATATTTATATACCTTATCACCTAACTTATATTTGCGGATAATATATTTTTGTGTCAAAAGCACACCCATCAATAACAAATTAGTGTTGTTTACATCTCATTATTTATGACAGTAAACAACATATTCTAAATATCTTTGCTACTGTGGGTACTTGAACAATGCAAATACCAGCCAGATAAACTAATGTGTTCTGATACAAGCTGGCATGCAGTTTTATATACTTTTTGCCACGTCCAAACCAAAAGTTAAAATCGATCCCTTTTCTAGTTGGCTCCAGGAGTATCAAGAAAAAGAAATCAATTGAAAAATAATATAACTTTTCCCCATGTCCAAAGTGAACATGATAATCTTTTTAAAATGCAGTCTCACACTCTTGCGAAGTCAGTTTCAAGGCATCACTCAATGAGTAAACAACCAGAGAGGACCAAATAAATCTACCGGTAGTTTAAAACATGCAATAGCAATTCTTTTGACTGAGGTTCAATTTTGCAATTAGAATCTAAAAAAATCAGCTAAAAATCATGTCACAAAATGACAATCTTCAACACTTGTAGTTTACCTGGTAAGACCCTTTCCACCAGGAGTTATATATCAATATAAAATACTCAAAGACATATTAAAAAAAAGAATTATAACTATCGCAATTTGTTAGTGGAATATGCGGATTGCTAATATACAGATTACACAGATTTCTATATTATTTCTAGTTTAAATTATTCATTTCTCATAATTTCAAGTTTTTAAACAAAAATTTGTGTTCACTTAATTTTAGAATAAATATATCATAAGATATATATAACTTATTAACTTGGTATAAATGTACCAAAAAAAATCCTGATAGATTTGAAAAGATGGTTACAAATCTACATCACGCCTCCATTTTGCTGATTTGACAAACGTGGGTCAACAAATGAGCACTCAGACAAAGATTAATTATTCAAACATCAGTTAAGTAGAGTTGGCAATGTAAATAGACGTGGATTGAGACATTACTTAAATATATTGAATTCGTTGAATAAATTTACGCAGTATATGAAAATATGTACGTTTTTACCTTTTTAACGCCGTCATCAACAGACAATAATGTCTGTAGTCGTTTTTGTTGAAGAAGTTTGGAAAAGCGTAATTGTGTCTCGTCCATTCCAGTATTCCTTTGTCTAATGATCCAATGTTTGTCTGGATTAGGAAAGTAGTCAAAACTCTGGGTTCTAGAGAGAAAATAAATATGAAATTACGTAATATTCAAAAAAATAACTCAACAGAATAAATGTTTGTATGTTAAGACTTTAACAGACAGACATAAAATGACAGGTATTTGAAAACGTTTTTCACAATACCAAAAAATAAATAAATTTGCAAATTCTGTTTACACGGATCAATAGTTATATTTTATAACTTATAACATTATATAAAATATTACTAGCAAAAGTAATGGTGGATGAGAGACCTAAATTACAATACTCAAAATCCCTACTACAAACTGACATAGTAATATCAATTTAGCTTGCATGACAGACATTTCTCGAAATATTCTGCAATAGTTTTCAACAAAATTTTATAGAGTTAATTTTAAAGTTTTGTTTGCTGAGTTTTGAATCAAAAATTTAGAGTTATAGATTTGATTCCATCATACTGCCTTTAAAATGATAATATACAAAAGATCAGGGTATTCATAAAGTCTCTTTACAATTTCAATTTTGTTATGAAGTCAGTTCTCAATATATCTTAACCAGGTTTGTTGTTTTTCAATCAGTAATTGTTTCAGTATTTTTACCTCATTTAATAATACATCTGTGAGGACCAAAACAATATAAGGTATCAATAAATTCTGTTTGCAATTTTAAAAAATCCCAGGACTTCATGGACACTCTATAGTTAGTTATTGGCACGTACATGTGAGTTTCTGTATCAGAAAATAAATCTTGATATTGAGGGGCTCCATCTTCAGGACCATGCGGAGCTGGAAAACTGGCAACGGCAAGTACAGGTCGTTCTGGATCTTCTAGTTTTGAATTTCGAAAAAACTCAATACTTCGATTTGTCACCAAGTCAGTCAAATAATCCTAAAATCAAAATAAATATTTTTAGTTCATAAAAACGTATTACCCTAATGTATATGTACCAAGTTGGGGTTAGGTCATAATATTATTTCGATTTTCCTTATTTTAGTTCCATTAGGAGTTTGGGGACTTCTGTGTTAGTTAAGTGAATATTCAGGTGAGTATCCTTTGCATATAGGTTTTCGTGCCTTCATACAACTTGATGTAAAGTAGGCGAATAAAATTAGTTATCTTCATATTGGTACATACACTTCTGAAGCGCTCATAAGAGACCTATTTTAAAAATCGGATTACAATGGAAATCGTGCTTTTCCATTAATTCAATAAATTAATGACTTATGTAAAACTTGCTAAAAATAGACTTATTTATAATATTCAAAAACTAATCAATAGATGAAATAGATAGTGTTCGCCTAACCTTGGCATAATTATTTCCATGAAGCTCTCTAATTCCATTATGACGAAGCGTATAGTTGTAATATTTTGAGTTTTTCACTAAGCCCATCCAGTAATCCCAACCAGGCGGTATATGAGAACCATTGTAATCATTCAAGTACTTTCCAAAATAACCTTGAAGATCAATTTCAATGACATCAGTGAAGACAAAGACAAAGGATTTAAATAATTTTATTGCAATTCACTTGATGATTCTTTGTCTATCCATGTTTGAATGCTTTGTCTACATTACTGTACCGAAAATATATTAATGATACTATTTAAAACCTAATTTAATATCACCAGTATGACCTCTTCATAATACAGGACGACCCCTCGATAAGCAGAACCCAGGTCATTTGGGACACATTTTAACGAGAACATAACTTTTGTGCAAATAGTTCTAAATTATAGAAACTTTTGGGTACAATCGTACACAATCTGTGTAGCACAAGTGTTAAATAAATTTTATTTGTTTTCGTAGAATTGAAAAAATTAAGTTTTGTTTGTTTGTTCAATACTTTTCTTGAAATACAGTATAATGCAAAAATCTTAATCCAAATGGCATACTAAACAGTCAATAAATATGAAAATAGAGGAAATCATTGAGGAAGTAATATACAAAACATCAGATACAAGAAAAATATAAAAAAGAGAAATAAGAAAAGGCCTTTAAAGTTAAAAGTATAGCTAAGAAATTTTAATTGTATGATTCACACAAAAATTAGCCCTTGTTGATGATATTAGCAATACAGTGAAATAAGATAATTATGTGAAAGAGTGGGCATATCAAAGAGTATGTAATTAGTTGTGATTATGGCTGTTTTAATCTGAGATTATAATTAGAAAAATAATAAGTAAAACCAATTATTTCAGTTTGACTACTTAAGAATATCGAATGTGGTAATGGAACAACTTTGTTGAAACAAAAAATATGGAGCATATTCAAATTTTCTGCTTGCTTAATGCAATAGCCATAATATGTTAATAAAAAAATACCTTTTATTCCTAAATAAGTTGAAAAATAGTACTACTTATGAGCCACAATTATACAATTTCGGAATATATTTTATATTTTAATTAATAAAGATAGTTTGAATAAAATCTTTGGGCTCACTAGTACGGGAACACCACAAAGTATTTTACTGAGTAGTTATCCTTTTATAAGACTGGGATAAATTCCTCTTTGAAATGAATGAAAGGTCTTAAAGTAATCCCTTATGAAAGTGAACAACAAGTAATCAAGTAAAAATTGAAAGTTTATTTTACAAAAATGTTGTAGCCTTAGTTCATCAAAGTAATATGTTGTTGGTTGAACTAAGCTACCATAGCTTGATCAAGTAGCTTCTATTGTCTGGCTATTTAAATCTTTGACTGAGTATTTCAATCACTCTGGGGTCATGAGAAGTGGATTAACAATTAACATGTGATGTAAACTCTTCCTTTTATTGATTATTCTGCTGGAGTAGGATCAATTTAAGATTTAATTAATATAAATCAGACAGAATCACAACAAAAATCAAAGAATCCATGATTTCAAACAAACATGATGACAGAGTAAACACAGTCGACCAAGTTTCTTAACCAAACTTTTAATTAAGATAAGACAGGATCAAAGGTATTAGCTTTCAACAAATCAGAAAAATGACGTTAGGGGAATTACTCTAATATGGAAAAGTTCAACAGCGAGATTAAGAAAAATAGAGAGATGGGAAAACGAAGGACTTGAAAGTCTTGATGAAACACATTTTCTATGAAACCTTTTTACATAAGTTCGTCATAAAATTTGGTACTCCCGAAGTATGTGAACCAAGATGGCGGACACCCGCCTTTGTACTAGGTTAAGGTTAGGCTATAATTTTATTCCAATTTTCCTTATTTTAGTTTTATTATGAGTTCGAGGACTAGCCAAGTGACTCCCGTAATATTTGTACCCAAAATTATGGCCTAACCCTAACCTGGTAGACATACTACGTTCCGGTATCCGCCATCTCGGTTCACATACTTCAGAGAGTACATAAATTTTTTGTCCGTAAACAATGTGCTAGCAAAATCTTAACTGGAGTTCAAAGGCTACGATACAACATTTTAGATTCTAGATGAAATAATGATTGGTGCATTACACACAGTAAAAAACTTTTGACTATTATTTGATTTTGATCCAATCGAAATTCAATGATAATAACCAGTTTGAAAAAAATAAAGATTTCCAAATAAAATTAACAGTTCACATAAAAAAGATAATTGATGAAAATATATTTCAGGTTTGAATGTAATAAATGCAGTAAACCTGGGTTTCTCAATTTCATGAAGCATATTCACAGAAAGAGTCAAAAAACAAACATATAAATTTCCTAATTACTTCTACATAAAAAAAAATATTCGATCGTTGAACTTCTGTTTGTGTTTGATTGTCACCAGAAGTTTCAATAATCTAGGAAGCTTTAAACAAAAGTTATGTTCTCTCTAGATGTCTACAATATGTTCTGAATGGCATGTGTTCTGTTTTCAAGAGTCACCCTGTAGTTGCTTAACAAGGTCACTATTAAAATGCACGCTGATTGATGAAGCATTTTCAATACACAATCGTCTATTATATAAACTTGGATTATATTGAAATAGGCTATATAAAAATATCACTTTAGTTTGTAAAATATTCCCAGCCAAGACTTACCAGTATGATATCCAGATCTATCTAAATAAGTTGCATAGCTCCGTGACTCATAGAATCTTCGCCAAATTGACGAAGAGCAATTATCATTGTTAGTATAAACTTGGTGGTTGTGTGTATATAAACCTGGAACAGGAGACATAAAACATCACAGGGTATTCAATGTCAGTAGAAAGTACTTTCATGAATGTGACCTCGGGCAGCCAACAACTCACGCACAAGTAAAATAACCATATATTGACTGTACCTTGAACATATCATACTTAAACTAACATATTTGAAATTATAAATCTTCAATGCTCTATTTCACAGGTCAATTTTCAAAGCCATTTTGGTATTTACTAGACACAGTATATGTTACAGATAAACGAGTCTTAAGAAAATTGCATTACTCCATTTCTTGTGTTTGCTGTTGCAACTTATTTTCCACAATACATTGTAACAAAAAACAAATAAACTTCACAGCAATGAATAGAAAGATGATCACAGGAATCTGAGTGCCACACATACTTGTTGTAGGTTCAAAAGTTTAATCTAATTTTAAAGGTTTTTCTTAGAAATTGCCCAGAAAATTGTTCTTAAACGATTTGAAGTACGTCATGTTTGAGTCATAGGAGATATACAAAATCCCACAACATATTATGACGAAAATGTAGTTCAACCAAGTTGATTAGAAATTGATTGAATGATTAAACACATTAAGGTATTAGAAAAATATCTAGATAAATCTCTGCATAGATAAGACCTGTCAATATTTGCACTGCAATAAAACATAAATTAAGATATAAATAACACAATTTTTCTTCAATCTACCATACATCAATTTGAATTGCTTCTAAGAAAAGCTTGAATGCTACATTGTGGCAAAATGGCAATTTGCAAACCTGCAAGCATACCTGTTAATATTGAACTTCTTGATGGACAACATATTGGTGTGGTAGTGAATGCATTTTTAAATTCAACGCCTTTTTGTATTAGGAATTCTTTAGTTTTACTCATTACATCCATTGAATCTGAAATCAAATACCTTTTTTAAAAATGCGAGATTTGAAAAATAAAAAAACCCACAGCTATGTTTTAACAAAATAATTTTACTGTTTTACTGGCTGTAGAATTATGATCAAATACAATATTAACAAACTAGGCACTCACTAAGCAAAATATCTTGGTCATCAGCTACAAGAAGTATGATGTTAGGTCTTCGTCTTTGGCTCATTGTTATTGCGACCAATCCACACATGACAACATATATGATCCATGAAGTTTTCTGAAAAAATATTACATGTGTTGTATATTAAGAATAATCAGACCAAAATTAAAGCAAGCCGTGAACACTCAGTACATTAATAATTCTTGAGTGACAAAGTTTTGCGTTGTGTGTTAATAATAAGAGATGAACCAATTCTGAATTACCCAAAGAATTTCAATTGTTCAGATTTAATTCAGATCTTTTGTGAAAGGCCCCGCGCCCCCCAAAAAAACCTGCCATTGTTCAAAATATTGGAAATTATTAATTATCCAGTTAGCATTAGTGTTGGGGTTAGGAAGGTAGATTAAAAACTGGAAAGAGCAAAGGTTGTTGAGCTGTCAATGAAAGAAACCAGCAGAAAATTTACCAATATGTTTTTGAAAGTTACTACTTCTCATTATTAATACTCAGATATTAGTCTTCAAATTCAATATCAAAATTTTTATACTCATAATTTCAATATTTTTATATAACAATTTTATATAACAAATTACGAAAAAATGTGATCACTAAAGAGTAAATTATGTTGACGGTTCTTAGTTTTCTATAAAATAACATCCTGTTCTCACTGCCATAGGAGGGTTTAGATGTCGCTTCTTAATTTGAATAAACTAAATAGAAGTTAGTTTTCTGTTATGATTTTCGAATATTGTCATATTGATTCTGTGAACAGCACTTGTATATTATGCAAAACAAAATCATATTGCCAGGATTGTAAACATTGATTAGCTGGAAGAATAGTCTCACAATGTATCCCATTTGCAATAAAACGTATTCTCATAAACGCTAATACCATCTTCTAAAATATTTATTTCATATTTTCAAGTATCCTAAATATATTCTCTTGGAAGGGATATTAAATGGGTAAGGGTTGTTGTAAAGCAAAATCAGGTAGAATGAGGGGGTCTCATGTAGTTTCGTACCTAACGTACTTCTAGTAGGCGCAGCATAACAATTTTTTCATGTGTTAACCCTAACCCTCCTCTCCCCTGACAACGCCATCCAAAAATGATGTCACTACGACGTCACAGTGACGTACTGGAGCCCTTAAACTGTCATCCGAGACGCGCAGACGAGCACCCAAAATTGAACAGCTATTTCTCTCTTCTTTATTGTTGGCGCCTATGCCATTTTGGACGATTGTATGTATATTTTGCAAGCTTTATGACGTGATTGTGATGTCGTAGTGACATAATTTTTAGATGGCATAGTCAGGTGGGGGTTAGGATTGACATGTCCAAAAATTGTCATGCTACGCCCACTAGAAGTACGTTAGGTATGAAAACTACACGAGACCCGAATGAGGAAGCTTCTGTCAATATGTCAATAGGTAGAAAATAGGGTCAAACACTGTATACTCACTATTGACTTATTCATATTGATATGTCACTTTATCAGTCACGAAAAGTTAATCCAAATCTTAATCAAGGATGAATTCCGACTGTGACAAACCCCGATCATCACCAGCTATGAGAGACTTTTCCACGTATTCCTTTCAAAGTATTCAAGTAGATAATCACTTTCAGTCTTTGCTTGAATTTACAACTCCAACGATTGCCTCGCTTAATGCAATTCTTTCAATACTGAATGAAACTTTAGAAAATCGCTCAGGACTTTTATCCTCTCGTCATTTAGTAGAACATGTAAGTACTATTTTAGTAAGAAATTCTGTGATTATTGAAAGTTTCATTGAGTTATTCTGGCAAACGAACTTGGCGAGACGCTCCCACACTAATAATGACACCTACGATGTCTCCGCACAGCAGCTGTCTATTTACCAGTTTTGAGAAACACCCAATAATCAGAACCACAAGCGCAGCATGAATTCTTGCGCTAAAATATTTCCCATTACAAATTCTTCAACGATTTTTTCGTGCATTATTGATCGTCACGTAGTTTCCATCGTCGGCCACGCCAGCGTAACTCTATATAATGATCCTAATTCTTGACTGACCAAGTCTGGATCATTGCCGTTCGGGTTGAAGCAAATGTGGTCCATGTTTGTTTATTTTCCGTATTTTCTCCGAAATGAATTCCATCTCAAACTACGCATAAACGCTTCGCTCAAATGCGGTCCCGACGTCGTCGCCAATGTTTGCAAAACATCACGGCAATCAAATCTTTCCATATTGACCAAACAGTGGACAAAACACCCGACGGTCAGGAAGCGCTGGCGAGACTTATCTTATCCGGAAGCCCTTATTAATAGTTCCAACAGATCGATGTCGGGCGCAAAGCTCAAAATATTATTTCATAGTATATTATGATTTCTAGTGGTACAATACATTACCTTGGTATACACTCGACTTTCTGTTACAATAAAACTGCAAAGCACCCATTACATCGATATGCGACAACAAATTGACGTCGACGTTACGTACTTTGCGGCGGCGATTTTGTATCTGTATGCCGGTGGTACGTGGCGTTGTCATCGGGATCGGATTATATTCGCGAATACCAGGTTTAAGTACTATCTAGATTAGAACGCAGCGAATATATAAAGAGAAATTTACTGCAAAGTTGCCCAATGCTACAAAGTGTACTGTGAGGTAAGAAAACGCTGAGCCAGACGGACTGACTTGACTATTCATCACATTTCGATAACTCCATAGTTCAAATTGGACTAAAACCAATTTATCATTCCGAATACGTATCCACTAACAATTCTTTCTAAATACCAAAGATTGGAATAGCCGAATAGCGACAGCTCAGCCACGAGGCCGAAATGGCGAGCTTTGGGCTCTCGGGAATCGCGAACCCACGCAGACTGCCGAACAAACGATCCACTATCACGCTTCTGGCGTCGCCATTTCTTTTCGCCCGCCACCATATTGAACGACGTGGGCCGTGTATGGAAAGAGTTGTTTGTACAAGCGTTGCAGATTGCGAAAAGTTCAATTGACTAATTTATGAACACAAAAAAGGATAGTTTCATTAGAGTTCGGCGCTACTTACGAGCAATAGACTTTACTGCATTAATAACTGCATATGTCACGAAGACTGCAAGTTTCATGTGAATTATTAGTACATTTACGAAATAAAAAAGACTTCTAAGATTCTACATTGCTGAGAAACATTTTCTAGGTATTAGAAGTTTAGCCTTCATACTTTCAATGTTTCAAAGATTAGGTAAATATTAAAATAAAGCAAAACTTCGTCATTTTAGTTTCGTCAATTCATAATATTCACATATTGCTTAGGTTTATTCTAGGTCTCATCAGACGTTGTTTTTGCGAAGGTTTAGTGATAAATTGACCTAATTAATAGGGTGTGTGTAATTTCCAGAATTGCCAAATTGAAATAGCTGAGGGAATTCTACAACTTTATCGATTTCAGTATTTGTTATATATATGACATTTAATATGGACAGCATGTCATTGAAATACGTCCTAAATTTAATTAGCCACGATAAAATGTATTGATTTCCGACAAGGTGACCGCATTATCGAAATCTCGCACCAAACGCACAAGTTTAAATGCTTAAAACGACAGGTACAAATTGCCTTAAGCACCTTTGACTCCAATTATTGAGAACGAAAAAATGTATTCCAATTTCTTTAACATGCAATTTTAACACTCGATACGTCATAATTGAGGATGTCTCCATTTCGATTGTTCTTATCAGATAGGAATCTTATATTAGGTAATTAAATATTCTAGAATTCGTGTGAACGTTTTTATTTTAATATATTTGTTATAATTCCTTAGCTCACTAGGAAAAATACATATATCAAAAATCTAAAATTTGACACAAATTTTGAATTTAAAAAATTCATGTATTTTAGGTGTCTGAATAAACACTCCTCTCCAAATATAACTATGTAATTTATTATATTCTCAGCATATCGATGATGGTGACAAAAAATGTATTCTTGACCTAACCAGAATAGTTCGGGTATTCGCGATACCTATGATTGTGTTGTATTTATCCTTGCTTGTTTTACGGATGCAAACGCTTCACTTACTTAGACCAGCGTTTCCCAAACTTTTTTGGCCACGGAACACTTGCACTTTTTATCTCGCCTCGCGTAACACCAAAAATTGAAAGAGTAAAATTGATAAAGTAAAACGGTGTAATGTAGCGGTTCCCAATCTCGTGGCGAGTTGCCAAATGCAACTACCAGAATTGTGTTAAACATACCTAAAAAATGATTGAACATTTTGCATATTGCATTTAATATAAATGTTTTATTGTTTATTAATCGAAATGCTGTGTATATAAACCAATTCATTCATTTTACCATTCTATGTCGTTTACTTTCTCTAACTTAGTGTTTGCCTCTAATGTTACGTCTAATGAAGATAGAGGTACTTGCAGCAGTTTATTTATCTACTAAATAGAGTTTAGCAAAAATGAGAAATTTTTTTAGCATTTCAAGGTAAAACCAGGCAAAGGAGGAATAGCGACGGTTATCGAAAATTCCAGTACCCCACCCTAATTAGTCCACTTTAGGCCGACGGTGACCGCGATATCGAAAGGTCAGTTGGGCGACCACTTCACGTTTCATAGATCGTCATGAGGACTATTTTGGACGTATTTTTGATTCTTTTTCCACGGAACACTTCGAAGACGCTCGCGGAACACTAGTGTTCCGCGGAACACAGTTTGGGCTGACTTAGACTAATCGGTGTTAATAACGTAGTCAAAAAAAAAATCTGACGTAACGTGACAAAATAATTTATATATATATATTCACTTTCTGTCAGATCAGGTCTGTCCGCCATTGGTATATCATTCAATGGTCAGCATAAAGCTTCAATGTTTTCTACAAGAATACAAACCATACACAGAAATGTCCAACAGATAAACATAAACGATTAAACTATTGACAATAACCATTCTGTTAGCACTAAGCACTAAACGGGGTATTCATAAACGAGAAGAAGACAAATCATTTTTATATTCCTTCCCAAATATGATCCTTTACCATTTTCACCTGGTGTAAATAATAGTTTTAGCCTAGGTGAATTCAAGGTTATTGAATTTGACCTAGATGCAATCCGACCTGAGATTAGTGTGCTGCAGTATAAGACTTCAAATAGAAGGAGCGTCCCAAAGGGGAGAAGGCCTACCCACGTAAACCCACAAGAAATATTATCTCTCGCCTTGACATGGTAGCTGCACCTGTGTGGTGCGTTGGACTGTATGTAATGTTATTTCATACTAAACTGCCGTACACAGGTGTTGAAGCACATCGTGAAACGTTATATCAGCGTCTACAACTTGAAAATCTGTATTGCGGCTATCCGGTTTCAAGCCTAATAACAGTTCACCATTCAGAAACGTTTCGACCGCACCTGCGGCAATGAAAATTATAAACAACCCCTGAATATCGGTCACTTAATTCGCCACAATAGTCGTGATTCTCGGATGTTTTTGTTCTGAAAAATATCGTTGGTAACATGTAATTTAAGACGGCTGGCGAGACTCACAGAAACAAAAACTCAAAGTCATTCGAAGTCTAAAACCTCACATTTATATAAAGACACTCATTGATGACATGCAATGCCAACTTTTGAATTTCAGTAATAGATCCATATTTTTGTCTCATCATAACATAATTGAGGCAACAGGGTCCATAATGAAAATCAGCTGTTCGTTCCGACAGAAAAAAATATTTCCGTGAAGCACTAACTTAATTATGAAATTATCATCGCCTAAATAACCTTATAATTACTTGGACATACCATGCTTCAAGTTGGGGTGAATATTAAACTGTAAAAAGCTACTTTCGGAAGAAATAATAGGTTGTGGTCGCTATAGTCGAAGTGAAATACCAAGTAAAATTTGTTTGAAAATATATCTGATCTATAACGCTTGGATGTGGACTACTGACGGTGTTTTAATTCTACACATTCTAATATGACATTAATTGGTTGTTCACATTTAATATTTGATCGTCTATCCAGAATTACTGAAGTTTTTGAAAATTTCGTTGCTGCATACTGCTTGCTTGCTGTAAGTGCATTTGCAAAATGTAAATCTTTCGAAAATTCGCTAATTTTAATGGCTCTCAATAAATCCGATTCACTGTTCACAGTGTAATTGAACGACTGAATACACCTCCTCTCGCGATCTACACTTATTCAGTTTTAACCAAACAATCCTTCTGCGACGTCTATAAAAACTGTTACGAATTCCGATGCGTCTGCGGTGTAGACTCTCTCTTTTATCTGTTAGATGAAAGCGGACGACTGATTTTTGCTGACTGATTGAAGGAGATATGAATCCTACAGACTTCGTTATTCCAGACTAATCCAGAATACCAGACCTTCTCAAAATAAGTAAATAAACATATCAATGTAGCGTATATGATTATAGACGTCGCAATACATTCATGATTCTTTATATACAGCAGTGCATAAATCAACTCAAATTGGAATTGATAACCTATTACAATTTATTCAAACTGAAAAAAAAAGGATTATACCATTAGTAAACTAGAATATAAATACATGAAATAGTTGAATAGGGCTAGTTAAATATGCGCGTTATTTGCAAGCGAGTTCGATCGTGCTTCTTTTGTGGAAGGGATGGGATAATAACTTCCAAAAAACTCGAAACTGAATCTCGTAAGTCTATATTCTCACGCCAGTAAATCATATAAGTATATTTCATTTTTGAATAAAATAAAAGCTCATCTTGTGCAAAATTTTGCATTGCGAAAAACATTTTTATATTTTCTGTTCCGTCTGATCGGTAGTTGGTAAAAATAAGTGAATTTGGTACATTTTTCGATAATACGATTTAAGTATTAGACGCACCCTCATCCCCACAAAATGAGATAATGTGTTTATAGAATCAACTCACGATGAATTAATAGCTACATAACTAATTTGATAGGCTGGTTGTCGCATATATGCTACTTTGAGGAATATGGACCTGGTACTATCGATATTTTGGGTAAAGTGCTGTTATAAATTATCATTTTTGTCGAATATTCGTTTCATGTACGCAATTTAAACCATTTGGACGCCGAATTGATTCATTATCAAAATAAATATATATATTATCCATTTATT